ACAGGCGACCACCTGTGAAGCGCCCGATTGCGATCAGCGCCGTCTGGCTTACATTCGGCTCTTCATGCGCACCTGCTTTGGGGGAGCGCGCGACTGCTATGCTGCAACTCGGTAGCTCCGGCAAGTGGTGTCGGCGGGCACGGAGTGTTTAGCGAAACGCACGGGCCCGTTGCCTGAGGAATAACCATCCCCAACTGGAGGCGCGGCCGGGTGCCAGAGGCTGCCTTCGCCGCGGGCGCTCGAGAGGGCCTGCCGCCGCCTGCCGCCTGGCCACGCCAGGCCTCGTAGCAAACGCCTGCTGTGAACAGGCATACGGCGATCTGCGTACCTCAGTTCGGACACCACCACGTCAACGACCCCAGACATCACCAGTCGCACCACAACTTGCAGATGCAAGTACTTGGCGATGGCAGCGCCGAGCGCTGGGCCGGCGATGCAAAGGCGGTGGCCATCGGCGGCGGCGTGCCCCGACTGGAGTCACCGAAACGGCCACGCTGGTAGCATGGCGGTGGTGCAAGTAGCGATGACGGTAACAAACATGGTACGGATAGCGATCGTGCTGGTGAGGCGGCAGCGACGCTGACAAGGGCACCAGACTCTGCCAGCGACAAGTAGTGATTGCTGAAGCAGGCGGTGCTGCTGATGGCGATGCGGATGCAGTGGCTAGTGGCGGTAGCGGTGGCGGGAAGGATCTTATATCTCTCTATCGTTCTATATATACATCTATCGATCAAACTATATATATGTACGCATCGGTTTACCTAACTATCTATCGATCGACCTTTTTATCGGGTCAACCGTCGGGACAACCATCGGGACAACCGTCGGGACAACCATCGGGACAACCATCGGGACAACCATCGGGACAGCAATAGGGGCAACCATCGGGACAGCCATCGGGATAACCATTGGGACAACCATCGGGACCACCAGCGGGACAACAATCGGGACAACCATCTGGGCAATCATCGGGACAACCATCGGGACAACCATCGAAACAACCATCGGGACAACCATCGGGACAACCAACGGGACAACCGTCGAAACAACCATCGGGACAACCATCAGGGCAACCATCGGGACAACCATCGGGACAACCATCGGGACAACCATCGGGACAACCATCGGGACAACCATCGGGACAACCAGGACAACCATCAGGACAACCACCAGGACAACCACTATCCATCGGGACAACCATCGGGACAACCATGGGGACAACCATCGGGACAACCATCCGTGGGGACAACCGCGGGGACGATCATCGGGACAACTATCGGGACAACAATCGGGACAACCATCGGGACAACCATCGGGACAACCATCGGGACAACCACCAGGACAACCACGGAACAACCACGGCACAACCGCGGGACAATTCCGGGACAACCGCGGGGAAAATTTCGGGACACGCGCTCGCCAGGGGGGGGGGGGCGGCCCTTTGGGCTCCACATGGCCTCGACCAATACCGGAATTCGCGCAGCTTTGCCTCTCCCGCGCGCGAGACAGGAAACGAAACCGAAACCGATTTTCCTATTGGGGTTCCTTCCGCTGACACCCTCTAACCTCCGATATGTATATATACACATATATATATATACATATATATATATATATATATATATATATATATATCAGAGTGAGGGGGCCGAGCGGTCACTCATTGTCCCTGGGTGCGTGGCTTAAGTACGGATACGTGGTGAGGATTCTGCTTGTTGCGTTGTTGTTGATTTCTCACTAGTGAAGAATAATTATTGTTGATCCCCCCACTGGTGCATGCTGTTTTTCTCAATCAAAGTGTGCCACTCGACGCTCGCACCCTGTTTTTTTGACAGGGAAAGACTTCCTGCTCAAACTGGGCCCCTGGCCCCCGGGTTACAACAACAAGGGCTCCCGCCTGAGACTTCTTCCTCACAATTTAGGCAGGGCCCCCGCTCCCGCCCGAGACTTTTTCGCATTTTATTCATGAACCGCGCTTTCGCCTGGGACTGCCTTACAGTTTATTCAGGAATCGCTCTCCCGGGGCTCTGGAGTCGCGCTCTCGCTGGAGACTCGTTTGCAACTTACTGAAGAATAGCCTCGCGTTGGAATTTCCTGCAATTTGCCCAAGCGCCGCGCTCCCGACACCCAGGCACCCAGGAGTCGCGCCCGTTGTGGCCCCATGTGCATGCCCTTCGTGGCCCCGCTGTCGCCATTTGTGTCCCCCTCATTGTCCTACGTGGCCCAGTTGCTACCCTCAGTGGCCCCATAGTTGCCTTCTGTGGCCCCGCATTATCTGCACTTCGTGGCCCCCGCTCGTTCGCGCTCTTCGTGGCCCCATACGCATTCCCTTCGTGTCCCCGCTGTCGCCCTTCGTGGCCTACTTCGTGCCCTTCGTGGCCCTGCTGTCGTTCTCTCTCGCTCTCGCTTTCGCTCGTCGTCGCCGTCGTCGTCGTCGTCGCGTCGTCTTCGACGTCGTCGTCGTCGTCGTCGTCGTCGTCGTCGTCGTGGTCGGTCCCCTGTCCGTCCCTCTTGGGGTTGGGTCGACGGTCCGCGGCCGCCCCGCCGATCAGCGCTGCCGCTGGCCAGGCCGACGGTCCGCGGCCGCCCCGCCGCTTGCCGGGGCCCGGCCTGCAGGGAAGAAAGGTATACCCCCCAAAAGGGGTTCGATCGAAGACGAAGAGGGCGGGTATCGAGGGTTTGGGAAATACGCGTTGTTGGACACTCGAGCATTTAAGGGCGAACTATCTTAAAATGATTGTTGTTGTTGTCGTCGTTGTCGTCGTTGTCGTTGTCGTTGTCGTTGTCGTTGCCGTTGTCGTCGTCGTTGTCGTTGTTGTTGTTGTTGTTGTTGTAATTGTTGTTGTTGTTGTTGTTGTTGTTGTTGTTGTTGTTGTTGAACATTATTACTTCTAAAGAAATATTATTGTTGAGACCCCTGGTGCGCGACCCCCCTCCAAAACCTAGGCCGCAGCCTCATTTCCTTCATTTTCTAGCGAAAGCTTCAGAAAAGTGGATTGTGTCCGGATCCGGTTGTTTTGTTGTAATCCGTTTTCCCTTGCAAAAAACACTATAAAATGAAAATTCTTGTTCTTACTTGATCAAATTGCAAGAATCCCTTGCAAAAAATAAGGTAAAGTGGACATTCGTGCGCGCAAGACGAAATCCTTCCAAAACCTTAGGTTTCGTAACGATTTTAACATAAAAACATCAAAAACCCAATGGTTTTTTAAGAAAAAATTGTCAAAATGTCCTTCCGCGCGCGCTGTCCGAATCCCACAAAACCAATGGTTTTTCAACATTTATGTTACATGAGCTCGCGCGAGCTACTTTTTCTTGTTCTAACATAATCAAATTTCAATAATCCCTTGCAAAAAATAAGGTAAAGTGGACATTCGCGCGCGCAAGACGAAATCCTTCCAGAACCTTAGGTTTCGTAACGATTTCAACATAAAAACATCAAAAACCCAATGGTTTTTCAAAAAAAAATGTCCAAATTTCATCCCGCGCGCGCTGTCCGACTCCCACAAAACCAATGGTTTTTCAACATTTATGTTACATGAGCTCGCGCGAGCTACTTTTTCTTGTTCTAACATAATCAAATTTCAATACTCCCTTGCAAAAAAAAGTAAAGTGGACATTCGCGCGCGCAAGACCAACAAAAAACACGACGATCTCAGGAACTTGCCCCAAAAATGTGACCAACTCCGCTCTCTCTGTCTCTCTCTCTGTCTGCTCTCTGTCTCTCTCTCTGTCTGTCTGTGTCATGTATTGTATGTCACAATTGCAGGATGCTGGGCACACGCGCGCCCCGAATAAGTGACCAAGTTCTGTGGGTGTGTACCCCACGCCAGTGTAGTAGCCACGGTCGTCCGCACGCCACGAAGTGAAGTGTCCCAACGTCATAGGGCGGGAAGCTGGGTTTGGGTGGTCGCGAAGAGTCGTTTGGATATTTGGTAGAGCTTGAACTGCCCCCCCACGAAGTGGGGGTATTGTCTCGCGTCGCATGAAAACCCTGGCACTGGTGAGAACACTGAGCGTTCGGGTAAAATGATTGTTGTTGTTGTTGTTGTTGTTGTTGTTGTTGCTTGTTGTCGTCGTCGTCCCCCCCCCGCCACCCGGCCCGCGACCCACCCGCGACCCACCCCGGCACCCACCCGCGACCCACCCCGCGATCCACTCGAACCCACCCGCGACCCGCCCGGTACCCACCCGCGACCCACCCACGACCTGGCCCGCGACCCACCCGCGACCCACCTGCGACCCAACCCGCGACCCACCAACATTGTTTTAACAAAAAGATTGGCGCCTGCGGCGGGAAATTTTGCGGTTGCGCGGCCTTCTTCAGAGCCTCGCAAACTGCAGACGTCCCCGCCGCCCCCCTCACTCTTATCCGCAGCTGCGGGGTGCTACGTATAGATGTGGCCCTCCTTGGAGCCGTCTCGGGCGCCCTTGGGATTCGCCTTCGGTCCATGTGGGGACGTCTTGGAGAGGTCTTGAAGAGCATAGATGCTTTGCGGCCTTCCAGTGGGCCCGTCGAGCAACTCCGGCACTGCTTGTAGCACCCCTGCAGCCGTCTGGATACATCATGATGGCCTTCCCGATGCCACCTGAGACAAACAGTGGTGGTAAGGCCACGACCGTTGGAAAACTTTCGGGCTTACGATTGTTTTTGGGGCATGAGGGGCCTGCATGGGCCTGCTGCGAGGCCTCTCAGGGGACAGCGAGTCTGTTCGGGGCCTTGGGGTCTACTCTGCTCGGGGGCTGCTGGGTGGATGTCGAAGGTCTCTTCTGGTGCGGGGGCCGGCTGAGGGGGCTTACATGGGGCCGCTGGGGAGATCGCTGGACTAGCGGGCACCTGCTGCCGAGTGGCTTGGAGTCGTCTTGGGCCCTCATGATCCGCCTCAACCAACCGACGGCCTTCGTACCTTCCGCTGGCGCCGATTGATCTGCCGGTCATCGCTTGGGGCATGCGCGGTCAGCAGACCAGACGATCAAGAAGAGGAAGCTACGCAGGGCACCGATGGCGTCGTTCAGCGGCCAGAGGATCGAGCAGCCGAGCCTGCACATCTACCCACGCTTCCTCTTCCCCCTTCCCCCCTCATCCACATCCACCTCCTCGTCATCCTCGTCGTCTAGGTCCTCTTTCGCTCCATCTCCGCGTGCACCTCGTCCGCCTTCATTTCCTTCCTCCTCTTCTTCCCGTCCTCCCTCCTCGAGCGGCAGCAGCAGCACCAACCCACGTAGGTACTGCACCAGAGGCGGCACAACTGCTGGCCCCCAGGGCACCGGGCGCTGATTCGTGTTGTGCCCCCCCCCCGCTCAAGGCAGAACCGAATCGCCGCCTGTCGTCGGGTTCCCGTGTTCAGAGGAGAACCGCGGACCACCGCCACCGAGAACCCACGAGTGGGGGGCCGGTCCCTCACCGACGGGTTCTCGTGTGGCGGTGGTCCGCGGTTCTCCTCCGAATCGGGCCGGGCGAAAGGGGGGGATAGCAAAGGGGAGATTTGAGAAGTAGCTCGCGTAGCTGATTTCCTGGCGCCTCCCAGCGCTGGAGGCGGCTATGTATCGAGGAATGGGCCCCTCGGCGGGGCCGAGACCAGCTGCACGCAGCAGATTTCGTAGCCCCCCTTTTCCCAGTCGCCCCCTTTCGTCCAGCCCGACTGAACTGCCCGTGCAAGACCACGCTGCCCGAGAAGCATCGCCGAGCTTCGCCCGGCCACCTGCGACGGCGCACATCTGACCCGTCTTCTCAGGCCCGCCATCCCCCTCCCAAGCCAGCCTGGCGCAGGACCCCATGGCGAGAGGGGAACGATGCCCTGTCACGTTTGCGCGCGGCCGCCGCCGACCCCAACGGTCTTGACCTCTCGATGTGCACAGGGACGGCCGGGAGCCCCTTCCTCGTGCCCGCGATCCGACAAGGCTTCGCCGAGCTGCAACTAGATCAGGCAGCGCCTGCGCCTCTCAGAGCAAGTTGGAGCGCCTTTCGCGACCCGCCGACGCCACGACCGTGATGCGACGCCTACGCATAGCAGGCAAACCTCCGCGCGGTGCAGCCCATCGACAGCCGCGCACATCCGTGCACCTACGATGCGTCGCTGAAGCGCTCTGGGAGAGACGCCCTGCTCCGTTCCAATAGTTCGGAGGACGTCGACGATGCACCTACACCGATCCTGACCACGCTCATCCTGGCACCAGGATCGGTGTGTATGCCCTCCAAGGCGTACACACCAGTCTTAGGCCAAACATGGGACTCGCCAGGAATTGTGTTTGTGGAGGTCCGGGTCTGCATCGAGGAATGGGCTCCTCGGTTGGGGCCGAAACCAGCTGCATGCAGCAGATGTCGTACCCCCCCCCTTTCCCAATCCCCCCCTTTCGTCCGGCCCGATCCAGGGCCTCCGCTGCGAGGGGTTGGACTGAAGGGGAGGGCTCCCCCCTTTTCCCAGTCCCCCCCCCTTTCGTCCAGTCCGACTTTCCCCCAGGGCCTGCCCTGCGTCCTGCGTCGTTCTTCGGCGGTCTCGGCGAGGGCCCTCGGAGACTACAAAAAAACGGCCACCGTCCGCCCGTCGTGCTCGTTGCTGCGACGCGAGTCCGCCTGGGCCCAAGCCGTGGCCCCTATCTCTGGTGTCCGCTCCGTGAGGTGAAGGGGCCCTGGGACACACAACTAAATACACACGAATGAAAGGATTCCCCATGTTTTCACATATTTTCTGGGTTCTTGTCCCCCCCCACTTCCAACATTTTCCCATCTCTTCCTGGGAGTGGACGATTACTTGTGTCTGTGTGTTTCTTCCCCTCCTGAATGAGAGCTTGCGTGGCCCCCGGCGCTGTCCGGTTTGGGCTTGGTCTGGACCGACTTTGGACCACATTCGGGACCGGATTGGGGCCAGAGTTGGACCGCATTCGCCGATTGGCAAGGGAGACGGGACGAACGAGGGGTGGGGAGGGGGAGGAGGAGCAGAAAGGGCGAGGAGAAACAGCAGGAAATGGCCAAATGCGGTCCTGCCGCGGTCCAATCTGCAGGGGAAGCTCATGCCAATGTAAGGTCGCCGCCCAAGGCTCCCATGGGCAGACGTCGAGCAAATACAGCTCGTGCCCAGAGCCCGAGCCCGGCCCCGAGCTCGCGCCCTAGCCCGGGTCCGAGCCCGAGCCCGAGGTCGAGCCCGAGCACGAGCTCGAGCCCGAACACGAGCTCGAGCCGAGGCCAGCCCCAAACCGAGCCCGAGCCCGAGCCTGAGCTTAGGTCGGGCGTGTCCCCCTACAGGCGGACTTGGAAGGAAAAAGAACAAATGCCCCAACAAGTACTCATAAACAATTCATTACCCCAGCGCGACCCTACCTAAGAGTTGGAGCCCCTAGGAAAGCAGCATCCGTAGTAACGGTAAACACCGTCCTCCTCCTTCTCCTCATCGTCGTAGTTGCCTTTGCTGTTGCTTGTTTTTGCTTTGCTTGGTTTTGCTTTTGCTTTGCCTTCGCACACACACACGCATGTTTCTGCATTCGCTCACTGGGTGGGCTCTCTGATCGTACTGTCGCACATTGCTTTTGTGTTGCCTTTCCTTTGCTTTGCTGTTGCTTTTGTTTTGCTTTGCTTTGCGTTGCGTGTGCTTTGTTGTTGCTGCTGTTGCTTTGCCGTTGCTTTGCTGCTATACTATGCTATGATATGCTATGATATGATATGATATGCTATGTTGCACTATGCTATGCTATGCTATGCTATGCTATGCTATGCTATGCTATGCTGCGCTATGATGCGCTATGCTGCGCTATGCTATGCTACGCTAGGCTGCGCTATGTCATGCTAGGCTATGGTATGCTGTGAGATGCTGCGCTATGCTATGCTATGCTGTGCTATGTTGCGCTATGTTATGCTATGCTATGCTATGCTGCGCTATGCCATGATATGATGGGCGAGGCTATGATATGCTAAGCTAGGCTAAGCTAAGCTAAGCTACAGCTAAGCGAAGCTAAGATGAAGCGAAGCTAAGCTAAGCTAAGCTAAGATGAGATACGCAAAGCTAAGGTAAGGGGGCGCAACTGGGGGAACCGCGGGGCGGGGACCGGGGGAACCGACCGGGGCGAAGCCCACTGCCCGGCCCCTTTGAGCCCAGCGAGTAAGAACCCTCTAGGCAGAGCCTAGGTAAGCAAAAAGTACGAAAAAAAACACCCATACTATTTTGTGACCACTTTTGAATATTCCTCCTGTTGAAGGACGTGCCCGAGCCCGAGCCTGACTGAGCTGGAGCTGGAGCACAAGCCCGAGTCCCAGCCCGAGCGAACGTGACCCCTCCTGGCGCTGCCCGAGGGCAGGCCGGCGCCGGACGCACAGCACGCAGGGGCCGCCTCAGCTCCAGGAGGCTGCCGGGCTGGTAGCGCAGCCCGCGCGGGTCCGCCCACTCCTCCAGCGCGGCGCCTTGCCGCTTGCCCAGGGCCGGGCTGCTGGGTCGGAGGGCAGGAGGGCACCATGAAGGGAACGGGTCCTGAGGGAAACGGGCCCTGAAGCTTTTTCTCGGTCTTTGGCCTCCTGGGGCCCCCAGGAGTCAGAAGACGGCTCAGGAGGAAGAACTCGTCCCGGGGGAAGGCCCCGGGGTCCAGGACCCGTGTCCCTCAGGACTCGTTTCCTTCATGGTAAAGGAGGGCACGAAGGAGAGGCGAAGGGGGGAGCAGGAGAAAGGGGTTCGTAGATGTCCTCCTCCTGCTCCCCCCCCCCCTTCCATTTCTCCGTCATGCTCCTCCACTCGGTCCCTTGTTTCCTCGTCCTCCTCCTACTTCTCCTTCTCCTCCTCCTCCTCCTCCCCGTCCTCCTCCTCCTCCTCCTCCTTCTCCTTCTCCCATTGGCCCTAGACGCCGTTGTCGTCCCCCTCCTCCTGCTCCCACCTTCCACCTCTCGCATGCGAACCTCCCCCCTCCTCCCCATTCAATCCCCCTTCCCCCTCGTCCCCCGGGCGTCCCTGCCTCCTCCTCCTCCTTCTCCTCCTCCTCCTCCCCCTCTTTACTGCAGCCGCCTTGTAGTATCACCGTGCAGCCACCTTTGGATATAGCAAAGCCGCAGCACTCATACATTTAACCTAAGCGCATGTGTGAGCTAAGCGCAGTACGGTAGGCCAGACTGAAGCAGTCGCAGAGGCCTTGCTCTCCAACGCCTCGCTCTCCTCCTCCTCCTCCTCCTCCTCCTCCTCCTTCTCCCCCTCCTCCTCTTTCGCCATCCCTCTTCCTGAAAAGTAGCTCGTCCTCGTGACACCAACACACGTGTCGGTAGGGCCGTCTGGTGTTTCGCATGAGATAACCTCGCAACTTGTACTCCTGAAACATGGAAGGTCCAACCGATACAGGAATGCAGGGGGGATTGCTTTCAAATGTGAGCTCTTGCCGCAACGCCGCGCACATCCGTACGTAAGGTTCGCCAGTGGCTACACGGATGGAGGGCGTGTCGTTTTCAAATTGTGACTGTCGCCTCGGAGTGGCACGCGCTCGTTTGGGAAAGATTGCAACATCTACAAAGGTGCAGGACTGTTCGTTCAAAACTTCCAGCTCCCACACCAGCGCCCCGCCCGTCTCTGGCCTGATGCCCTATAGCTTCCGGGCAAAAGTGCTCGCAGTCGCGCCTCTGTCTGTGCAGCTGCTGGAAGCTGGCAGCTGCACAGACGGAGCCGGCGCCCCAGACCCCTGGCAGCTCTCGTGGCGAGCGGATGGGCGGTGGCCACTTCTCAGCGCAAGGGCCCCCGCCAGGCAATTATATGGCAGACCCACGGGGCGCCGGCCGTGCAAAGGAGGCGCCAGCCGGAGTGAACAGCACGCCTGCAGGCTCCTCCCCCTCCTCCTCCTCCTCCTCCTCCTCCTCCTCCTCCTCCTCCTCCTCCTCCCTCCTCCTCCTCCTCCTCCTCCTCCTCCTCCTCCTCCTCCTCCTCCTCCTCCTCCTCCTCCTCACCGCGTCGGGGCGAGGAGGAGCGTGCGTGTCGCGCGTAGCTCGCTCGGGCTCAGTCTAGATCTCGGGGGCTGGCGACAGCCTGCTCAGGAGTTCTCGTGGACCATGCTCCTCGTCGTCTGGGGGGCCACAGGACTGCCCGCCAGAGGGGGGAGATGTTGAAGCTGCCCCAGTCGAGCGCCTATTGCGTGCACCCTCCCTATGACTGTTTGGGGCAACGTGCACTGCTCGGCGGCCAAGCAGCGTCTACCCCGCGCTCTGCACAGCAGAGCGCGCACAGTGCTGGAGCATAGCATCCGGGACACGCCGGGATGGCCGGCATCCTCCGTGATGCTTGAGGGCCTGGCCGCCCTTCGCACTATTTGTAAGCTTTCTCCGCCTCGTCGCCGTGCGCGAGGCCGCTATCGCCAAAAAGTGTGTGCGTGTGCGTGTGCGTGTGCGCGTGTGCGCGTGTGCGCGTGTGTGTATGTGTGTCTACGTGCGCGTGCGTGTGCGTGTGCGTGTGCGTGTGCGTGTGCGTGTGCGTGTGCGTGTGCGTGTGCGTGTCGTGTGCGTGTGCGTGTGCGTGTGCGTGTGCGTGTGCGTGTGCGTGTGCGTGTGCGTGTGCGTGTGCGTGTGCGTGTGCGTGTGCGTGTGCGTGTGTGTGTGTGTGCGTGTGCGTGTGTGTATGTGTGTGTATGTGTGTGTATGTGTGTGTGTGTGTGTCTGTGTGTGTGTGTGTGCGTGCGTGCGTGCGTGCGTGCGTGCGTGCGTGCGTGCGTGCGTGTGTGTGTGTGTGTGTGTGCGTGTGCACTGCAACATCGTTGATGCGTCCTTGGTTTACTATGGTCCTCCACCCTCACCCTCACTTCCTCCCTCACCCTCCTCCTCCTCCTCCTCCTCCCCCTCCCCGACCCTCCCCCTCTTTCCTTTCCTCTCTTACAACAAGTGTCCCGTCCATAAGGGCATATGGGAATCGACTTGGGAACCTACACCGCGCAACACCGCACAGGACGGATTAGTGACGGGCGCGGTGCTGTGCGGCTGTGCTGCGCTGGCGAGATGCGAACTATGCTTTCCAAGGAGCTCATACGGATCGGGATCGCAGTCTCCCCGTGCCCCCTCCCTCCTCCCTCCCTCCTCTCTCCACCCCCCCCTACCCCCCCGTACCCCATCCGCCCCTCCCCTCTTCCCCCCACCTTACCCCACTCCCTCCAACCTACCTACCTCCCCTCCTCACCTCCTCCCCCCAGGCCTCCTCTCTCGGACCTCTCCCAGCGTTCAGGCCAACGGGTTTCGAGGCGAAGCCAGCCATGACGACGAGGGCCTCCCAGGAGGCCCCCGCACAGGGGAGAAAACGAGGGCAGGGTAGCAGTATAGCGGCTTCGCGTCCTCGCAGGTACCTTCGGGCGGCTCAGAAAGGAATTGCGTTGGCAAGTACACTCGGCGGCCTCGTGGCAGCGCCCGCATTGCTTCGGGCACCTCCTGGAAGTGTACATGTTGTTCATTTCTAATCGTGTTCATTTCTAATTGTGCTCGTTTCTAATTGTTCCAGGCCCCCAGTGGCCAGGAAGAGGCCCAGGATAAAGCAATTAGAAACGAAAGGATATTGGCCCCCCAAAAATATCAAAGAACTTTCGAATCATTAGAAATGAACAATGTGTACTTGCACGTACCTCGGGGCTGCCCATGAAAGCGTCCTGGCAAATGCCCGTTCCTCCTCTGAGCCCCCCTCCCCCAAACCCAGCCCCACCGACGGACTCCAGCACGCCGCCCTCGAGGCACTCTGCGCCCGCCCGCGACACCGGGCCGCGCCCTCGGCCGCGCACGCCCCGCAGCAGCGGTCGCAACGCCTCGGCGAGCGCGTGAAAGCCGTGGCGGACCGCTGCCTCGCAGGAGGCGACTGCGAGGGCGGCGAGGAGGAGGCGGAGGAGGCGGAGGAGGAGGAGGGGAAGAGAAGGAGGAGGAGGAGGAGGAGGAGGAGGAGGAGGAGGAGGAGGGGAGGGGGAGAAGAGGGAGGAGGAGGAGGAGGAGGAGGAGGAGGAGGAGGAGGAGGAGTGAACGTAACCCAAGAGGAAGAGACGAGGGCAAGCGGGCACGACGCGAGACGAGGGCAAGATGTCTGCTCGTGTCCCGCCGCCGAAAGCACTCTGGAAGTAGGCTAGGCTGAGCTACGGCGGGACAGGAGGAGGAGGAGGAGGAGGAGGAGCAAGCAAGCAAGCAAGACCTGGGCAGCGGGTGTCACATGCGCCGTAGCTATGACGGGTGCTGCTGGTGAGATCAACGCACAACTCGGGCAAGCCTGTGGGACCATTTAGTCCAACTCGGACCCGTGAGGCCCACTTCGGCCCGAGGGCGAACCACACGTGATTCCTATTAGTCACTTGGAAGAGGCGTAGGGCACTTGGGCCCATAACCTCCCCTGGTGGCTGGAGTGTGGGGGGAGGCCCCGAAAATGATTCGAGGCTCCAGGACAAAAATAAAAATTGACACTCACGACACCGCGGCAATGCTCACTCCCGTGATGCAGTAGAGGTCATTCTGCCCACGCGCACGGGTGCCTGCCATTCGGCAGCCGCATCGGGCCGTACGCCGGTGCACGGATGCCTGGACGGGGCCAGTCGCATCGGGCCGTGCGCCGTCGAGGCTAATCATCTCGTCTCCGTAGTTCGAGGGGTGGTAGTGCATAAGTTCCGCGATCTTCGTGCGGACGGTGACGTCCTCGTGCACGCCCAGCTTGAAGCGCTTGCCAAACTGCTCGTACAACTTCTTGTAGTCATCCTTCTTCTCACCGATCTCCGCGAACATTTCGAGGCACTTCTTGGCGAGGTTATTCTTGCTCGCGTGCCGGATCTTGTTTCGCTGCAGCGTCTCACTGGCAATGTTTAGCGGCAGGTACTCATAGTCAACTACCTCCTTCACGAAGTTGAGCTTCTCTGGCATCAGCTCGTCGGAGTCGTCCATGATTAAGACGCGTAGCACGTACACATTGATGTCGTTGCGCTGCTTCTTCGTTTCGAACAGGTCGAACTCCCAGATGTACTGCGCCTCGTCGTTGATCTTGCTGATCACGCGCACTTTGTCCGATACGAGGTACTCGGAGTCGAAACCGACTCCGAAGTGCCAGATCATGGAGATGATCGCATGCCTCATCTCTGTGTCCTTCTGCCTCCCCCCGCTGTCCGTGTGCTTCATCGCCTCCAGGCCGCCCTCGGCCCGAGAAGTGCCATGCCTGCCGTGAGCCAGGACCAGTGAGAGGTGAAGGTGCCGTTGCTGCCTGATTCTCGCTTGGGCCCAGATGGCAGCTGAGGAGGAGGAGGAGGAGGAGGAGTGAAAGGAGGAGGAGGGGGAGGGGGAGGAGGGGGAGGAGGGGGAGGGGGAGCAGAAGGAGGAGGAGGAGGAGGACGAGGAGGAGGAGGAGGAAGAGGAGGTGGAGGCGGAGGAGGAGGAGAAAAGGAGGAGGCGGAGGATGAGGAGGAGGAATCAGGGGGGGGACGCCTCACGCCCGTGCGCACCTGCGGCCCCTGCCCAAGATTTGTTTGGGGTGGCGAGTGCAGTTAGGCAACGGTTGGCGCTGGGCCGCCCGGGCCCCTGGGAGCAAACGGCCAGCACTTGGGAGAACCTGCAGAGTGGCATCCGCGGGCCATGTATGCACGAGCTGCACACGCAGTCCAAAACAGCGTCCGAACCACATGTCGCGCCCGAGCGAAGCAGCAAGTGACACGCGATGACCGACTCAGAACCCGAGCGAAAGAAGTGCAAACCAAGCGAGAGAGCCCGAACGAATCCACAGCACAACTTGCAGTGGAACTGCCAGGTAACGACAAATCCAATGCGGAATCCGGCACGAAAACTCACTTCAAGATCAAGACGCGGGGCGGCAGAGAATCACACATCACAAGCAAGCGATGCCACCGCCCCCTCTCCTGTACTTCGATACGTGTCGGATCGAGCACGGCTCCTCTCTCTGATTGCCGCGCCGGGTGGCACTTTTGCTGGTGCCTCCCTCGATCTACTTGTCCGCCACTTGCTTTGTAATGTGTCTGGCTCGCCGCGCTTGCCGCTGATGTCTGAATTTGCTGATTCGGTGAGCGGTTCTTCGTTTTCCACGGTGGTGATGTTGCGTCCGCGTCGCTGGGGGAGCGCAGGAAGAGATGACCGATGCGGGTGCAGGTGCCTTCCCTCAGGAGCTGATGCTTCCAAAATCCAGAGGAAGCCCCTGCCCTGCCACGGACTACGCTCGCGTCCTTCCCCACCTTTGTGGGTTGCCGCACTGGTGCGAAATAGCCAGCCTGCCCCTATTATGTTTCATTTCGGCAGCTCAGCGCACTCAACGCCGCCCTTGGCAGCTCCAGGTCGGTTCCTGGATCGCCCGTGCTCCTCAAAACACGACAGAGAAATGAAGCGAACGAAACTTCCGAGCCCAAGCGGGAAAGCAATTACTACCAGCAGTTCAGGCAACACTTCCAAATCAATCAAGACATATTTGGACACAATGCGAAGATACACCCCAAACAACTCCCAACAGATACAACACTTCTCCAAAACGCGAAGACACTGTCCAAACACTTGAAAGATAAACGCGACATGGGTTTACAACTGTAGGGGCTCCGAACATCAATTCTCCCGAACGCCAGCATTTTTTTAACGCGCACTGGCCACGTATAAAACCACATTTCAATACAACTATATCGCGTCCCCCGGCCGCCCACAGGCCATCCACGCGAGCGGCCCAAGACTCAAAAAAACCTTCAACATGGCGCAACATTGTCTCCAAGATGCCCCAATCAGGCACCCAAACCGCCCCAAAACGGCGCCGAGTGGCAACTGGGCCACCCAGGGGCACCGCCGAATAAACACACACCGAGAGGAAACTAATTGTCTTCACCTTTTTCGCCAATTCGCTTCCCATGAATCCTAACTGCCTCGAAATTGCTCCAACAAGGCCCAAGGGGGGCCGAAGAGTCCAGAACCCCCGGAAAAATCCGCGACAGCCCCAAGAGCGCCAAAGAGCTTCCCTAAACGGCCCGATAAGGCGACTTGCGGGGCCGGGCCACAGAAGTTGAAACATCGAACTGTAAGCGCGCGAATACACGCTCGTCCGCAAGATGCATGCGCAATCATAATGTTCTTCCACACGCACCACGCACGTCTTGCGGATTCGTTCGAACACCGCGCGCGGGGCGTCGCCGTTTCCCACTGCGCGAGACGCGCGCGCACTTTACGCAACACTCCCTCTGGATGCATTTGCACGCTCCCGCGTCGGCGGCCTCGTCGACGCCTCCGCGCCCACCTCCCCGGACCGCCCCCTCGACCGCAGCCGCTTTCGCTGCCCGCGCTCTGCGCGTTGCCCACCTTTTGTTCGTAGGCGCTTCTGGGTTCCGCCACGCAGTCCGTACAAGACTCCAGCCTGTCCTTTCCCTGAAACTCAGATTTCGCGAGCGCCCAGTCTGGCGGCCGCCCGCCGTAGTCTCGCGGCATGAGCTGCGCCCCCCCCACCCGTCCGAATCCACATCCTTTCCCCGGGGAACCCCCAGCGACATTTTTCGCGGCGGTCATCTCGCGTTCATTATATGACTTCATTTCAAAAGGGTGAGAGGAACAGTCGGTGCCCCCGTCGTCGAGCGCGCGCAATGGCCGCGCAGTTGGACATCCGAATCCGCTGGCGCCGCGCGTTCTCTCCAAGTCCGCAGTGGCGCTCATTCGAACGGAATGTCGGGTACAGCCCCGTTCCCCGGCCTGGAACATGCCGTTCCTTCGCATGAGAGCCCTGCGCAATGAATGCTGCAACAACACTACCTCGTCTTCATTTCCCGCGACCTCATCAACGTGCAACACCCACCCGTGAATCGTGGCCATGCCCCCCGCAAAGGCTGCTTGCTCGGCCGACCCAGGTGCCCCCCCCCCCCCAGAAAAAAAACAGCGGGCGGGCCCTTCGCCAGCGGGGGCCTCGTCGGCCCGCGGTAGCCCACTGCTTCCCGGCGCGGCATCGGATGCCTAGATTCGAAAATAAATCGCGGCGGCCTCCACCAGCTTCTCCTACCGGAAGCGCGCGCCTTCTGGAAAGGTCGCCGTCGCCGTGTCGTCGTCGTCGTCGTGTCGTCGTCGTCGTCGTCGTCGTCGTCGTCGTCGTCGTCGTCGTCGTCGTCGTCGTCATCGTCTCCGTCGCCATCAACGTCGTTCCCCTTCAGGATCGGCGCCGCTGGCCGTAAGACCTTCGCAGCATCTCCTTCCCCTTTGATGAGCGCTGGCAGCTCCGACGCCCTGCGCTGTCCCGCCCGCCCCACATTAGTGCCGAGCGCGGCTCCGTGCGCAGCGTCTGCGTCGTCGTCGTCGCCGTCGTCATCATTGTCGTCTGCATCGTCGTTGTCGTCGTCATCGTCGTCGTCGTTTTGATCGTCGCCGTTGTCGTCCCCCTTCAGGATCGGAGGCGCTGGCCGCAAGGTCTTTGCAGCGTATTTTCCCCCGCAAATGAACGCAGGCGGATCCGCCGCCCTGCGTTGTTCAGACCGCCCCTGTTGGTGCCGAGCGCGCCTCCGTGCGCAGCGCCGTCGCCGCCAGCATCGTCGTCGCCGTCGTCAACATCGTCGCAGTCGTCGTTCAGAATCGGCGGCGCTGGCCGCAACCCCTTCGCATTATGTTTTCCACGTCTGATGGACGCTGGCGGCTCCGCCGTCCTGCGTTGTCCCGCGCCGCCATCCTCCCGTTGGTGCCGAGCGCGACTCCGTGCGCGTCGTCGCCGTCGTCGTCGTCGCCGTCGTCGTCGTCGTGGTCGTGGTCGTGGTCGTGGTCGTGGTCGTGGTCGTGGTCGTGGTCGTGGTCGTGGTCGTGGTCGTCGTCGTCGTCGTCGTCGTCGTCGTCGGCGTCCTTCGGTCTCGGCGGCGCTGGCCGCAAGGTCTCTGCAGCATCTCTTGTCACTCTGAGGAGCGCCGGCGGCTCCGCCGCCCTGCGCTGTCCTGCCAAATTGTCGTCGTCGTCGTCGCCGTCCTCGTAACGACTTCGCGGCATCTCTTTCCCCTCCGATGAGCGCTGGCAGCTTCGCCGCCCTGCGCTGTCCCGCCCGCCCCCCGCCGGTGCCGAGCGCGCCTCCGTGCGCAGCGTCTTCGGCGTCGTCGTCGTCGTCTACATCGTCGTCGTTGTCTTCGTCCTGGTTTTCGTCGTCGTCGTCGTCGCCGTCGCCGTCGCCGTCGCCGTCGTCGTCATCTGCATCGTCTACATCGTCTACATCGTCTACATCGTCGTCGCCGTCGCCGCCGTCGTCGCCGTCGTCGTCACCGTCATCGTCGTCGTAGTCGCCGTAGTCGCAGCCGCAAGGATTCCACCCTCGGACGAACGCTGGCGAATCCACCGCCCTTTGTTGTCCCGCCCGCCTCCCCAGTTGGTGCCGAGCGCGCCTCCGTGCGCAGCGTCGTCGCCGCCACCGTCGTCGTCGTCGTCGCCGCCGCCGCCGCCGTCGTCGTCGCCGTCGCCGTCGCCGTCGCCGTCGTCGTGGTCGTGGTTGTCGTGGCCGTCGCCGTCGTCGATTGGTGCCGAGCGCGCCTCTGTGCGCAGCAACAAAAAGATCGACACCACCACCACCACCCTCACCCTCACCCTCACCCTCACCCTCACCCTCACCCTCACCCTCACCACCACCACCAACACCACCACCACCACCATCAGGGAGCACCAGCGGGAGGAGCCAGGGGGGTCCCCTTGGTTGTGTGGTCCCCCCTCTCGCTCGAGACATCCCCTGTCCCCAGCTCGGGGAGGCATCGGGGACCTCCTCGCTGAAGATGACCCCCGTGCTGGTGGTGGTGGTGGTTGTGGTGGTGGTGGTGGTGTCGCTTCGCCCTGGAATCCGACGTTGCGAATTTTTCGAGCCAAATCGATCTGTGATGGTCTTGGGGCCCGAAACCTGGCGAACACGCCCGTCGTGAAAAAATGCAGCGCCCGGATCTGACGGCTCCTTCACCCACCCTGCGCTGAGCCGCCCGCCCCCGCCTTTGGTGTCGAGCGCTCCTCCGTGCGCAGCGTCGTCGCCGTCGTCGCCGTCGCCGTCGCCGTGCCCGTCGCCGTCGCCGTCGTCGACTGGTGCCGAGCGCGCCTCCGTGCGCAGCAGCATCCGGCCGAGCGCCGACACCACCAGCGCGACATCCAGCAGAGAGGCGGCCGCCGCCGCGCCGGGGGCGCCGCCCCAGCAGCGCAGGGAAGCGGCGGCTGGCGTGCTGGCGGCTCCTCGTCCGAGGGCGGTGCCAAACCGGGGGGGGCAGACCGCCAAGCCCCGGCGGGTCACGAAGAACTCACGGCGAGAGGTTTTCCACTATTGTTGGCCTCTGGGGGGCTTTCCCAGGCCTCGGGAACATCGCAGAACGACTCGGGATGAGAAACTGGTCCCGGGGAATGGGTCCAGACCTCGGGGGATTGACGTCGACGGGGATGCATCCATCCTGGGTCGGTGGTCATCTATCGTCGATCCTCGAGCTATATCGTCGGTCCTCGCTCTTCGATTCCGATTCATCTTCGCCGCTCGCCTCCGCCCGTCCCCCATCACGACCTCTGGGGAATCGATTCTCAGGGGCCTCCGAGGCGATGCCAAACTGGGAGGCGGGGATCTATTTTTTGTTTGTTGGATGGGTCTCTCATGCTCTCCGCCGCCTCAAGCGGCGCGCTTTTAGAGCTGGAGCGCAGCACAACTACAGGAAGGCGTGGCACTGACAGGGTGGCCCCGCACACGCATCAACTGCTCTAGCGAGCAAGAACACAGCAGAGCCCGAGGACAGCGAGGCACTGACAGAGCAGCCCAGCACAGTGACCGGTCAGTTCCCTGCGGCATTTTCACGAGCGCTGCGCCACTCTGGCGAGTGTGGACAGAGAACGCGCGGAGTACACAAAGGGCAAGTACGGTCGGATCCAGGGCCAAAACACCCCAAACTGTAAGATCACTCGAGCATTCTACAAACACGCAGAACACGAGGGTACCCTCCCCGAGCCGACATCGATCCTACACCTCGGTCCGACCGTATCCCCATCACCACCGCCTGGGGATCGAGCTACGGGGGCCGCGGCGGGCGGTGGACAAGGATTCGACCTGGCCCTTTTCAGGGCCTTCGGCGGCCGCGGCGGCCGTGCGGACTGCTCCTCGCCGGGCGGCGGTGCCGAGCGCTCTAGAGCCCGGCGAAGGGGTCCAGCGGCAGAGGGAGGCAGCCGAGGAGGGAAGCGAACGAGCGAGCGATCTCGGCGTCTGTGCACAAGACTCTTCTGTTTCTTCTCGCTGGCCCACTTGGGGCCTGGCGGGGATGGGCCGGCTTATATAGAGGGCAGGAAAAATCCACCCCGATAATAATCACCCCGACACGCGAAGCCGTTTAGAAAACGCGCACCAAAGAAGGAATCAAACAGAGCAGAGCTGTTTGGTAAACGCCCAAGGCCGTTTAGTAAACGCCAATTGTCCGGTCCGGGTGGTTTTTCCTCCCTTGATTAGCCCTCGGCCCAGGGAAGCGGGGAGGGAGCGCGTGCCGGCGGCGCGCCGGGGGGGGGGGTAAGTTCGAGGCTCGACAAGGTGTTCATGCATGCTCACTTGTTCTTGGCTTCAGTCGGCCCTGTCCCCCTAAAGGAAGAACAGTCCAACATTTGAAAAACGAAAAAAGAACTGATAATAAGATGGGGTCGATCTTTGGAATATTTTTTGTTTTGGGGGACTTATCATTTTTCGTCAAAAACCCTTCTGTAGGGGGACATGCCCGACCCCATTCTTGACGGAGCTCCAGCTGCGGGATCTGCTCCAGCGGCTGCGCCCTCGCCGAGAGCCTTCCAGGGGTGTCTGGGATCGTCCCGAACGGCCGCCAGAGGCCCGAACCATGGCCCGAAAGCTCAGGGACGAAGATCTTCGAGGGGGCAGAGCCCTGTCATCGAAGATCTTCTGACCCGGGTCAATACAGACCCGGGCCAGTCAGGCCTTGCAGAATCCTGCAAGATCCTGCGCCCAAGCCCGGGCCAACGCGCAGGATCCTGCAAGATCCTGCAGGATCCTGCACCCCAAGCCCGGGTCAGTGCGACCCCTGGCCCTGCAGGACCCTGCAGGCTCTGGCGCTCTGGCTGACCCCCGTTTGCATCGACCCCCGTCCCAAGGCTCCGGCGGCTGCCGCGCCCTCGCCGAGAGCCTTCCAGGGGTGCCCAGGATCGTCCCGAAGGGCCCCCGGGCCCGAAGGGCCCCCGGGGAAGAGGATCTTCGAGGGGGCAAGGACCTCTCAGAAAGCGGCGGGGCTTCCCGGAGGCCCTCCGGCCTTCTGGGGAAGACGCCCCCGCGTCTCCGGAGAGGGCCCCCGCCAAGGCCTTCTCGGGTCGGAAGCCTTCGGAGAGGCCCTCCGAGGAGAGGCCCGTCCGCGCTCTGCCTTCCGCCTCCCCCCCTGGGCGCGCCGCGCCCAGCTTGGGCCATCGGAGGAGGGCAGCTGTCGACGCGGGGGCGACGTCTGCTCGAGCATTCGGCGTCGTGGGTGAAGGGTTGGGTCGGGCTTGTCCCCACTACAGGCGGATTTGCGGACGAAGAATTAAACGTACTCCAAACGTACGCCCAAGACACAAAAAATACAACAATAACAAGAACAATAACAAGAACCATAACAAGAACAATGACACTAACAATAACAACAACAACAACAACAACAACAACAACAACAACAACAACAACAACATCAACAACATCAACAACCACAACACCACCACCACCACCAACACCAACACCAACAACAACAACAACAACAACAACAACAACAACAACACCAACAACAACAAACAACAAGTTCCCTGTCTATTATTTGACTTTTTTGGGATATTCTTCCTGTAGACGGACAGGCCCGACTGAAGTGAAGGGATGCGTGGGCGGGAGGCGGGGATCCACCGCCTGCCGAAGCTCCCGACGATTCGATCCTCCAGGCGGTGGTCATGGACACTTCCCCGCCTCGGACAAACGCTTGGGGCCCCAAGATGGCAGCTCACGACGCGGGCGCGACGTCTGCTCGAACGTTCGGCCTCGTGGGTGAGCGAACGCGTTGACGTCGCAGCTCCCGACACTCCGTGCCAGCCCGCAGGCTGCCCGAAGCTCGATCGGGCTCTTTCTTGATCCAGGCCTTTGAGGCATGGACTGGACGTAAGCTCGCATCTGCCAAAGGCGCCTCCGCGCAGAACACCTGTGAGCACTCCCTGACCTAGGCACCAGGCACCCCGCTCGACAAGGCAGAACGGACCACCACACATCAGTGCAGGCACGTTGTTATGGCCCCCAGCTCCGCGACCCGAGCCACTCCTCTTGGGGTTGGGTGATCTGTGTCGCTTCCCAGCCTCCGCCACAAATCAATGCAGGCACATTGTCATGGCCCCCAGCTCCGCGACCCGAACAATTCCTCTTGAAGTTGGGTGACCTGCGCCTCCGAGCCTCGATGCGCTCGCGCGGTCACAATGGGATGCGCTCGCCTCGCCAAGCCGCAGAAAAATTACGAAACCGTCTCCGGAGGTCCCCGAAAGCACAGAGAGGGCGACATAACCACCAATAACCTGTAACACGGCAGAATGTACGGTAGGAAACCTTGCTCTGCAGATTCCAGCGGCACGCTTGTCGTGGATCGCTGAGGCGTCAGATGTCTTCCGTGGAGCCATGGGTCCGCTGGGAGACATGAGCTTCCCGTGGGGCATCTGCTGGCAGGCCAACTTTTTAGTTGGTGTGCCCATGGTTCTCTGCGTTCCATGACCCATCCCCGCCGACCCTGAAATCACCCTCCGCCGCGGACAAACATCGCGCGCTGCAGGCACTCCGACCCCTGCGCCTACGAGGCGAAGTTGACCCTTTTCCGTGAGGGGGATCCTCTCGACGCCTCTTCGTGTGCGAGAAACATCATCCAGGTCCACAGCCTCGCGGTCTGGATTCCTGGGCCGCGGCCTCATGGATACAAGGCTTTCTTGTTGTTGCGGATCGCCCGCGCGGACGTATCCATGTGGTCGCGCCAGGTATCCCGACCGCGAGGGCATGCATGTGGATATGTTCGTCACGTCGGGCAGGCTTGCGGAGGAGAGCCAATTAGTTTTCTCTACGCACGTACATGCTGTGACCGCTCGCGGAATAACGCCATTGTGCCGCGAATTGCGTCGCCAGTGTCTTCCCTAATGTGTGTAACTCTTGTTTTGGTTCGAAAAATTGGCGCGCCTTCTGTCAGCGCTGTTGTGTATTTGTTTGGCACGCTTTTGGGGTAACCAGTCGGCCCAAGCATTGTTCTGTGTTTGGCTCTGCGGTGCGCCCGGCATGATCTTCGTCACTCAGGGCGTACTGCTGAACGCAGGGTGCCCACGCAATATTGACCGCGCCGACGCCGAACGCTGGCACGCCCGAAACGGGCAGGGAAACAGTGGGTACAATGCCCAGTAGCAAACGCTGTCCAAAACCGACAGCGGCTGCTGCGGGGCAGGCGACTATCTCTCTCGAATGGGCAACGCCGGAGGCGGCACCAACACTGACTCGCCTGGTCACAATGGGTGAGAAATAATGTGGGTCTTCGTCTCCATTACTTCCATCCCCGTGTGGCTGGTTCCGAACAAAAGCCTTGAACCCAGAGGAGAAGGAGGAGGAGGAGGAGGAGGAGGAGGAGAAGGAGGAGGAGGAGGTGGAGGGAGGCGAGAGGAGGTAGGAGACGACGAAAAAGACGACGATGACGACGAACAACTGTTGCCATCTCTTGGGGCGCGCACCTTCTGCTTCCGGCGGCTTCTCCGCCGGCCCTCCGCAGGCAGAGTCGGCCTCGCTCTGCTTCCGCGAGCTTCCGCCGCCCTGCCGCCGCCTTCCGCCGAGGCAGAGGCGACACCTCCTGCGGTCCTCGAAGGCGAGGCCCTGTCTGGGACTTGGCGGCGCGCACAGGGGGGGTGGAGCGAGGGGGGAGGGCTTCTCAGAAGGAGGCTGCTTCCTAGAAGGCGCCGGCCTTACATCTGTAGATGAGGCCCGCGCCTTCTGAGAAGCAGGGGTGCTTCCAAGAAGCCCTCCCCCCTCCCCCCACTCGGGCCAGGCGAAAGGGGGGGATAGCAAAGGGGGGGTTTGAGAATCAGCTCACGTAGCTGATTTTCCCGGCGCCTCCCGGCGCTGGAGGCGGCTATGTATCGAGGAATGGGCCCCTCGGTGGGGCCGAAACCAGCTGCGTGCAGCAGATTTCGTACACCCCCCTTTCCCAATCCCCCCCTTTCGTCCGGCCCGACCCACCCCCCTCTCTGCGCGTGGCCGAGTCTGCCTCCCGGCGCGGCCTGCGGCGCCCGGGGCGCCCAGCAGCGCGACGGCCAGGCCCGCGAGCAGCTCCGCCGCGGCGAGCCGCGCGCGCAGCTCGGCCTGAGCGCCCCGGCCGTCATCGCCGATGGGCGCCGCCACCATGTGAGAAGGGACGGGACCTCCCAGCAGGCCTATATGCCTACCATTATGTTGGGCTTGTCCCGCTACAGGGGGATTTTCGACGAATGGAAAATACACCAAACATGCCCCAAAAAGGTCAAACAATGCTCAAAAAACAGTACTCAGACTATTTTTTGCAATATGTTTTAATTATTTTTGGAATATGTTTTGTTTTTCGTCGAAAATCCCCCTGTAGGGGGACAGGCCCGACTTGAGCCTACCACGACATGTTCGGCGGTGGACAAGCCTCCCTTTCGTACACCTCCCCTTAGTGAGAACGGCCTGGGACCGAAACCGATGGACCTGGGCCCGCAGAAATAACGGCCGTGACGCCCTCTCGCGAACCGAACACGGCCAATTCGCTATGTAATCGACTTGTCAGGGTAGGAGGTCTGTCCACCCGACCTGTTCTTAGAACCCAAATTTGTTCGAATAACAAAAACATGGGGTCCGACTGGTGTCGGAGGATCGCGACGCATCGCCCATGCATCGGCGATGCATCGGCGACGTCGACAAGTCATCGGCACCGACGGCGTGGAGAAAATATGGCTTCACGTCGAGCCGCATCGGCGATGCGTTGGCGATGCGGCGCGATATTGTCGTTTATCCGATCCCCATCCCCAGCGGCGTGGCCTGGGCCCCACTGGCCGATTTAGCCCCCCAGATGGGGATATAGGCCGTTCCCTTCGGGTTTCGAGGGGTGTATCCCCAACTTGGGTGGTAAAATTTGGTGGGGGAGGGGATGGGGATGGGGATGGGGATCGGTTAAACGATCCCATGTTGGAGGCCCAATTCCAAGAAATGCTCGCGTCGTGGGCAAAATCTCGACGGGAGGGTTCTCCGGCCCCCTGCATGGGGACCCCTCGCCAAGCCCTGGGGCCGTCGAAAAACAAGTCGGAGTGCAAAACCGGCGCTGTGAAAGAGGTCGGAGCTTCTGGGGACCAGGAACGATCGTCATGAATCAAAGCAGGCAGGAAAGATACAGATTCTCGAAACGAATTGTCGAATCTCGGAGGTCTGCGATTTGGCTCCTGCTAAGCGCTCTTGTGACCTGCTCTGACCCTCCTGGGGCGCCCTGGTCGCCACGGCTGCACCCGCCTGGAGATTCTGGCCAGGCCGCTCCGCACGACAGTTCTGGTGTCGGTCGTCGTCGCCGTCGTGATGGTCGCGGTCGCGGTCGTCGTCGCGGTCGCGGTCGCGGTCGTCGAGGTGGGCCGTCGTCGTGCTCTTGCCCTGCCGACTCGTGAACACTTGCGCCAAGAGCGCTTGGCCTTTTTTGGGGCTCGGGGGGCCGTGTCCGAGCCCCGCGATCGTCAAACATTATCTTGGATGAAAAACCGGCCCCGGGGAAGGAGTCGGGAGTCGAGAGGCCAGAGAGCCCGCGTCACAACCAAACAATGACGAGCAACGACGGCACGCTTCGTCATCACCGTCGCCCGCGTTCCGTGCGAAAGGAGGTCTGAATCCTCCCTGGCAGACATCACACGGCTCGACAAGAGACCCAGAATGGCGGCCCAACTACAAAGTCCTGCTGCTCGGTTTAGGCAAGCCTGGGCTGGATCGCATTGCGAAGCTGGATCGGATCGGAGACGGAATCGGATCGCGCCTGAATCGTCGCAGATTCGGATCGGGATCGGCTCGTCTGGGATCGCGGATCGCGCCCTGCCCCTGCATACAGACGAGAGAATCGGTTCGGGCCGGCTCGGATCAGATCGAGATCGGAGTCGAACTTTGGGGGCCCGATCGGCTCGGTTCGGACCGCGAGCAGCCCGGGTTCGGGCCCGAGCCGGGGGTTGCCAAGGGTGTCCCTGGCCCACGGCGTCACCCCTCGCTGCATCCTGGAGCCCCTGGAGCTCTCTGGGCCTCGTGAGGGGTGCCATGGTGGCCGTGGGGGCCTCCTCAAAAAAGAAGCGGGTCTTGCGCGAGAGAGCATGGCGACCTTACGCCGCGGCTCACGCGGGCCCGCAGCGCGGCACACCGCACGAAGAAGAGGGCGCTTGCGCTCGACCTTACGCGGGAAGCTTGCGCGAAAATCGAGTCCGCCGTCGGGCGGGGGGCCTTCGCAGCACAAGGCCCGGCCGTGAGCCCGAACTGGGAGCCCAGGTCGAGAGGCCAGTGCCCTCTGCGCAGAACGGGGCTCCCCTCTCCCGCCGCCCTCTCCACCCGCCTGGGAGAAACGTGACGCACACCGGGCTGGCCAACGTTTCATCAGTTGCCCATTGGCAGCGAATCTCATCGATGAGCTAGCCCCCGTGGACCCCAAACGGTAAGATATGACCAAGGCGCTGTGGATAAGCAAGCTGTGTGGTGCAAGCGAATTGGTGCAAGGTACGGTCCAGCATGCGTGGTGCAAGATCGAGGCGACAACGAGGAGTCAACGGGCGGCAACAATGCAAGGCCTCGCTGGACAAGCACAGCACAGCGCACGAGGCGGCAACGAGGCGGCAACGGGCGGCAACGTGGCGAAACCTCGCCAGATCCACCCAGCGCAAGAGGTGGCAACGTCGACGCAACGGGCGCGAAACCTCGGTGGACGAATCCGGATCCGTAGAACCAAACAAATAAGAACCCCTTATGTGCAAGCACTGCCAGGGGCAAATCTACACAGACGTACGTATCGACATTCCTAACGTGACACCCAACTTGCGGTGTTCGGATGAGTGGTTTCGGTCCCGGGCCGTAGCTGTGATACATAGCTCAATCCAAGGCTGGCAGCTACTCCGCGCCAAACCTGGTAGAACTGTCGCGCGGGACGCGCTTTCGCACAACAGATGCCACGCCGCGTGTGCCGCTTACTCAGCTGAGTAATGCTACTTGCGAACAAGAGCATTCGCCACTGCGATGCATTCCACCACTCGAGTATAGAAAGGCAGAAACAATATTATTTGGAACAACTCGAGGAGGAGGATGCAGAAGACGACGAGGAGGTACGGCAATCCTATCGCATCCGTCTTGAATGCCTCGCAACGTCATGTGAACCACATCATTCGCATTCCTCCCTGGGCTCAGCCTCGACCCTGTGCTCGGGGACGTCCTCCTCTGTCGCTGTCTCCACCGACATAAGACGGTATCCTCCTGGGAGGGCGCACAGAAGACCGGCACGCACGATCCAGCTGCACAACCCTGACATCCGCTTCCTGCGTGATCAGGATGGCGACGGCAAGGATGATGAGAATAGCTACAGGCAACACAACTAAGCACAACAGTGGCGATGCAACGCATATGTGGTGAAATCATTGAGCACGTCTGAAAATCTGTCTCTAAAGGGATGGGGGCCAAATGGTGCAGACGGGAAGGGCGAGAAAGAGACATTCATGGACACAGAAAGAATCTTCACCGAATGCAATTCGCCATGCTTGAGCTCCCATCGGATGTAAAAGTCCACCCCTTTCGCATCACCACTCGGGCGCACGACGGTCGAGTCATCGCTGCGGTAACTACAAGTACGACAACGGCCGTACGAATCCTCGGACAAGACTGACGGGCCCCTCAAAGATCCCCTGGTTCTCTCCAGCAGCCGCCTCGGATGCGAAGAAGATCGGGAGGCACGGTCCGAAAAATTGCGTGGTTTCGCTTATCATCCTGGAGGTCCAATATGCTTTCGACTCGACGCGCGCTCCAGACCCTCCACAGAAGTGCCGCGGCGGCCCATGACGCTCCCCCCCCCCCGGCGGCGGCCGCAAGACGGCCCAAAGGCCGATCACAAGGCAGTGCCCCGAAGGTGGCCCCCATACCACCCCCTGGGTGGCCTCGAAGAGCAGCCCGAAAACGATGCAAGTCTGCCCCCTCCCCCTCCTCCACACCGCTTCCCCTCCCCTCCCTCGCGCCCGCCAGCCCCATCCCCCCTCCACTCCACCTCGCCCTCCGCGGCGAGGGCCCCTCGCCGCACGCTCCGTCCGTGCAGCGCGGGGACTGGAACTCCCAACCTTCAAGCTGGAAGGCCTCGCCTGGACCGCATGAGGGGGCCTCATAGCAGCTCCACCTCTGAAAGAACAACAAAGGTGCTGATACCGCTACCCCACAGGCCTCTGCAGGGGTGCGCCCCAAGCAGGCCAGGATTCCGAGGTGAATCCAGCAATGGGGCTGCAAGGGTAGCAGTATCGTTGCCTTTTACTCTTCTGACGCTTCCCCTCCCTCGGGGTGTCCTTGAAAGCCCGCCAGCCCCACGTACTGCACACCGCCCCAGGCGCAGTCGTGCCGTCCGCCGCAGCCGCCGGAGCCCGGCGCGGGAGGAGAGGACCCGCCTGGCGGTGCGCAGGTGCCCTCACTCAAGGCGGCGGGCCAGGATATTTCCGCAGCGCGAACACTTCACCCGGTATCCGAGTCCATACCAGCAGCCTGAGCAGGCCAATCTAGCACGCATGCCGTGGTGAATGGGAGGCCCAAAAATATACACCACCACCACCACCTCCCTCCCCACCTCCCCCTTGCTGGCAAGAGGAGAGAGGAGGAATCGAAGTGGTGGTGGTGTATATCCTTTGGGCCCCCAGTGAATGGACAGGAGACAAGCGAGGGACAGAGCGCAGAGGCTACGAGGAAAAGAGAACGGATAGAGGCGCGGCCTTCGCCCACAGGCTCTGCGAGGTTCCCCAGTGCCCTCCTCCCTCTCCTGCCCCTGGTGCTCCAGGACCTCCAGCTCATCGACCACCTCCTCACGAGAGTGACGGTCCGATTTGCCGGATGACCGCTTCTGGCCCCGGTCAGTCTGAGCCAGCCGCCAATCTCCTCCGAAGCGCGTCTAGACCAACGAGCCTCGCTCCAAGCCCTCTGGGAATAGATCAGACCGCACGGCTGCTGATCTTCTACCAGACCCCCGCCACTACCCCACTCGCACTGCACACGGAAAGTGATCAAAAACATCAGCGCCTCACACATTACCGAAGCGGGCGCACTGCGCCGGCACGCCGGGCAGGAGCAACAGCCAGCGTGTTCAAGTCAACACGCGAGCTGCAGACGTTGGCAAAGAGCCTCGCGCCCGGGCCCTGCGCCATCGGGGGCGGCCAAAGGGGGGGGGCGTCCAAGAGGGGGGGGGCAAATCATGACTGGCGGCATGTGCGCGGCCCAGGGGGGGGGCTGGGGACGTAATGAATTAAGAAGACGCGCCATGAGATCTGAGGAAATATCATGGCCCACGCCATGATATCCGCACCCCCCTAGTCATCACCCCCCTCTTTGCCCACCAAAACTCCAGGGCCGCCGATCCCTCTCGGGCCCCGTGCTGGACTCCACGAGAGCGGACTCCGAAGCGCCCTTCGCCCCCCTGCCTCTGCACATCGGCTGCGCGCCAGAGTGACCTCGGGCAAGAGCTTTAGCAGGAGCTGACCTCTGGTGTAGGGCTTGCCGATCGCTGCATGCGATGCGACAGCAACGGCTTGCGAGTTTGGGTACGGCCCAGGCTCGCCCCCCCCCCCAAAGCCGCGTATACCAGAGGTCACGCCAGCGAGGGCTCACACTCGTGTGCAGCCGAGCGAAAATAAACACAGGGAAGACCCGCCTTCCGGGAACGGCGTGGCGTCGTGCGCGTGCACGTGTCCGGCGAGCACCTGCTGGGAGGCCCCGCTGCCAACGCGGAACCACAACGTGCCGTTCCGGAGCCCGGTGCGCGAGCCGCGGGCCCGCAGGGCCGTCGAGCCGCAAGACCGCTGCGGGCCGCGGGACCATCGGCGCCGCAGCGGCAACATGATGCCGTCGGGCCCAAGTGTCTACAGTCGGACTCGATTGGACAGGACACGCGAGAGGACACAAGACCCCTCCGAGGGCCACATTGCCATAGGAGTGTAAGACGGCACGTGTCGCGAGGCACAAGACGCAAGGGTACCCTTGAGCTGGCAGGGTCGACCTACTAATCCGGGCCGCCTGTACGCGACAAGAACGGCGCCACCACGTCATTGACTCTGGGTGTCGGCTCATGGCTGATGCACTGATGGAGCAATGCGTGCAACCGAGACGCACCTCGAAGAGTAGCGGCCCTCATGCACAAATTGAGATCATGTCTTGTCGTCGCAAGGTTGCACTGCACTTTGCTGCTCTGGCCCAGCTTCAAAATCCAGAATCAGCGCCGTGAGGGGAAAACAACACAATTGAAACATGAGATCCCCCAGGTAGATGGCGAAATCCAGGTTAGGAACCAAGGTGCAAGTGGAAGCGGGGTGTCGGGTTGGCAGGCGTGGGGGTGGGGGGGCTGAGACTAGGGAGAGGCGAGCGAAAAACCAACAAATTCATGCACAGCACCTTTGCATCATTGATCGAATCGGCTTATACACAGGGAGGTGGTGTGCTAATCGCGCTTGCACCAACATGGATCACGCTCGCGGCCAGCCTTCCAGCTTCCCATAGGTCGCATGCTCGACCACCTGGCCTGTCTTGGGGCGCAAGACCTATTCGGCGCGCTCAATCCGGAAATCTCGAACAAAAACTGCTGTCACACCTCTTGGGGACGCATGTCTTACTTCGGCGGCGAGCGAGGGGGGGAAGTGAGAAGGAGAAGGCCTTCTCAGAAGGAGGCGGGACTTCTCAGAAGCCCTCGGACCTTCTGAGAAATTTGTTGCGTCTTCGGGTAAGGCTTAGAAAACTTCTCAGAAGGCCGGGGGACTTCCGAGCCTTCTGAGAAGGCCTTCTCCTTCTCACTTCCCCCCCTCTGCCGGCTCCCGCCAGCGGAGGAGGCCTCGTACTATACTGCCGCCACCTCCCGCCGAGGAAGAGGTGGCAACTCGTCCGATCCTCGCAGGCGGGCCTCCGCTGAAGCGCCCCACACGTGCCCACGTCTGGCGTTCAGTCGGGCGTGTCCCTCTACAGGGGGAATAATCAAACAATAAGCAAAGAATAGTCTGGGGACGATTTTTTAACTACTTTTGAAAATTTGGAAGCATTTTTCTAACATTTTTTGTTTTCCGCCCAAAGTCCCCCTGTAGGGGGACACGCCCGACTTAAGTCTGGCGACGCCGGTTGAACTCCCCACGTGCGCTGCGCTTTCGGCCCCAGCGGCACCGCCACCAGCGGACCGCGCGGCGCCGATGCGGCCAGCACGGCCTCCAGGAAGCGCACGGTGGACGCGGAGCTGCGCTCCGGGAAGGGCTCCCTGCAGGGGGCGGGGCCGCCTCTCGGCCCTCGAGGTGCAGGGCTCTCAGCCCTCGAGGTGCGGAGTTGCGAGGAGAATCCTCGGGGTCTCGCGCGGCCACTCGGGACCCCACTCGCGTCGAAGTCGCGCTGGATTTGCGTCGGGCTCGCGTCGGATCTGGCGTTGGCCTCACGTCGGAGTCACGTCGGAGCATCGCCGCGCGAGCGTCATCCCAAACCTTCCGGGGCGGACGTGCGGACTGGGTGCTACAACTAGTGCGCGACGCGCGGGGCCTCCAGGATGTTCATCACGGGCCATCCGGTAGAGGGAAACAATTACTGAACACTCCCCCTCCCCCCAAACTCAATGTTGGCACGCGCGGGTGAGACTGCGGTCGAAGTGCATCTCATCAGACCCACCGCCAACTTTGAACATTGGGGGGAGGGGGAGCCGTTGACAGATGAATGTGGCATGAGTGTTCGCTAATTTGTTCCGAGGCCTGTAGGGCTTTCAATCCTGGGCCCTGGTGGACCTCGGCGTTCGAGACCGCCCGGCAGTCCCAGGACAACCGACGATGTGATGCTTCCAGTGCGTCGCCCCAGAGGTTCAGAGCCCAGACCTCTTCCCCGGGGCCCTTTCTGTTGCCCCGGATCCGTTTTTGACGCTCCCAGGGCCCGATGACGGCCTCGGGGGGCAGAAAGCCAAGAAAAACGTGGAATTGCACCAATCATCTCGTCGGAGGTCATGGTCGAGGACGGACGACGGCGACGGCGACGGCGACGACGGCGACGAGAACCAGAGGAGGAAACACTGCATAAACATGAACTTGCGGAGGTCCGCGCGGATTTCTAGGATCCGCGTTGGGTCCCTCCCTGGCGCGCGGAGCGCGACAGGGGCGGCGCCGGAGGCGCCGCCAGGGAGGCCCCGCGCAGATCCGAGAAGTCCGCGCGCAGCTCCGACAGTTCATGCGCGTAGTTACAATCGGACCTAGGCCAGAACAACATCCCTCAAGAACATGAGACCCTCCGCCGGCCAAAACGAGCAGAACATCCAAGGATACCCCCCCAGGATGCATAATAACACCCAACAAACAAGAAGAACATTAGGATACCCTCCCAGAACCGATCTCGATCTTACAACTCGGTCCGACTGTATGCAGTTGCGGTTTCGCCGAAGGACGGCGACGACGAAGGACGGCGATGACGAGCAGCCTCCGCTCCACCTCCCACGAGCGGTCAGTCGCCCTGCCCCAGGCGGGGTCCCCGCAGAGCGCGTAGCCGTGGAACGGCCGGAGGCTCTCCGAGACCGACAGCGGCACGTGCAGCACCAGCACCTGCGACCGAGGCCCCCCTCCTCCTCCTCCTGCTCCTGCTCCTCCTCCTCCTCCTCCTGCCGAGTCTCTGTCTCATCTGCGGGGGAGTGCCAGGGACCCTCGCCCACCGTCTTTTTCAGTGCCCAGCGTGCCAAGGTTGGAGGCGAGACGCCCTGCCCGCAGTGGTGGTCGACGCTGTGCGGAGGCGTGCCACGTGCGGAGGCGGGGCCCGACTCACCCCCTCCTCCTCCTCCTCTCCCCGTCCTCCTCCTCCAGATCTCCGACGGCTCGGTCTGTCTCATTTTCGGTCGGGCATGTCCCCCTACCTATAGGGGATCTTGGTAGAACAACTGAGGCTAGTCAGAAACAAATCCCCCGAATCATCAAAAAAAGTCAGAAAATCGTCCCCAGGATTTTTTGTTGACTATTTTTGACTCTGCCTCATGTAGAGGGACAGGCCCGACTTAAGTCCAATTCAATCCGGGGCGTTTTCCTAGACTTCTGCCTCTGGGGGCCATTGTCCGACCCCAGGACCATCAAATGCGGATCAGAGGCAAAAAGCTGTCCCCGAGCAAGCGGTCGGGACCTCTGGGGCTCCGAAATGGAAAAGACAGATCGGCGGATGCCAGGGCCTCTGCCTCCCCCTCCCGCGCACCCCTCTTCCCTGTCCTCCTCAATGTTACTCTCCCCCCATCCTCCCCCTCCTTCCCCTTCGCTATCCACCTCCTCCTTTCGGCTACCGCCGCGGATCCCGAGGCAAGTGAGGGCTAGACATGCCCACGGACTGGCATTTGGCCGCTTCCTTACCTTCTCGTAACTTGTATCATCTTACCGTACCTCCTCTCGGCTATTCCGACCTGGGCGGCGAAAATCAATGGCCGCAGCGTCGAGCCTCCCCCTCCTCCTTGTCCTTCTCCTGCTCTTCCACTAGATTCCTTACAAGAGACGTCACACTGTCGCACCCCGAGACAAGTTTCGCCGGAGACTTCATCGCAATGTATAACTCTGGATCTTGACATTCGAAGCAGTTTCACGGATGAAGGGTGGGCCGATTTCACAAAGTGGTTCTCGCCTCATCGCCGCGCGGATCCGTTCTCAAAGTTTGCAAGAGCTTCACGGATGGAGGGCGGGTCCTTTTTCAAAATGTGAGTATCGCCTTGGCGCCGCGCAAATTCGCCCTAAATCTTCACAAGAGCTTCACGGATGGAGGGCGGGTGATTTTCAACATGTGGCTCTCGCCTCAGCGCCGCGCACATTCGTTTTCAAAGCTTGCAAGGGCTTCCCGTATGGAGGGCAGATAGCTTTCAACATGTGGCCTCCAGCGTTAGCGCCGCGCAAATTCGTCTTATAAGTTTACATCAGTTTCAAAACTTCGCCTGGTGTAAGTCCCAAGAACGAGCGTCTGGTTCGATTTAGGATTGTCAGGGCGCAACAGTATATGGTGATGCGCGGTGATGAATCGCAAGCATGGCGTTCTGGTACGATTTTTGATCGTCAGGGCGCAACAGTACTAGTAACGTTGATACGCGACGCTGAAGTCCCAGGAATGGTGTTGTGGCACAGTTCAGGATTCTCAAACGGTTGCCTTCTCACGGGGCACTGCCCGCAGTGAAAACGAACCCTTGTATGGGGCCTGTGAGGAGGGAGCTTGGGGGAAGGGTTTACATTGGTCCTCCTGCTACTCCTCCTCCTCCTCCTCCGCCGCCCCCATCTCCCGAGACGACGGCGACGACCACGGCCACCACCGCGGCGACGACGACCCTTCGCCTCCGGCCTCCTCCGCCCCAGGGCAGCAGGAGTGCCGCACCCAGGCGCGGAAGGCCTCCCTCGCCGCCGGGCCCCGGGCCCCGGGCCGCGCTCCCTGACGTCCCCGGGGCAGCCGGGCGTGGGGCACTTTTTGCGGGTGGACCTCTCAAGCTCTCCGCCGCCTCTGGCGGTGTGCGCTGCGAGCAGGAACGCAGCAAGTGCTGCCACTGGAAAGCGCGGCATGGACAGGGCAGCCCCGCGCGCGGGACACGTGTTAACGAGCAAGAACACAGCAAAGCCCCAGGAGAGCGAGGCCTTGACAGCGTAGCTCCACATTGACACGGTAGTGGCCGGGGAGCTCCCGGGCAGGCCTCGGCTCCGAGGAGCGGGCCTGGCCACCCCGACGTGCTCGCGTCGTGCGAATCGTCCAGGCGCCAGGGTGTTTGCCGTCTGCGGCCTCCAGGGGGCGCTCGCCGGGCCCCGAGGCCCTCCGGAGGGGCATGGGGCGCCAAGCGGGCCCTGGGGGAAGGGTCGAGCCTTTCGGGGCCCCCAGCATGGAACCGGTGGAGGCGTCGGATGTCTGGGCGGGGACCACCGCCACGGAGGACCCACCAGTGGGGGGCCGACCCAGAAGACCCGCCCAGTGCTTGGTGATGCTCTGGCGTGCCACCGCCCAGGGGTCGGACCTCCCCGATGGGTTCGCGCGTCGCCGTCGCCGCCGTCGCCGCCGCCGCCGCCACCGCCGCCGTCGTCGTCGTCGTCGTCGTCGTCGTCGTCGTCGTCGTCGTCGTCGTCGTCGTCGTCGTCAAAGGCACAGACACCGCGAAAAAAGTTAGCAGCGTCTGCTGCACCATTCAGCATCCGTGACCCGCTCAGAGCCGAGGACCTGCTCAGGTGCGGGCGCCCCTTGGCGGCAAGTCGGTGCTCTTGGCGGCGACGGTGGCCCATGCCTGGGCGCCTCCGCTGCCCGGCGCTGCCGGCTGCCGAGCCCGAGGCTGGCCTCGTGCTTGCAGGCGGCGTCGAGGGCACGGCTCTGGCCGCGCGGGACGCTCCGCGCCCCCCCGGAGATCTGCGGGAACCACTGGGCGCTGGCCGACGTTCAGGAAGTCCAGGGCGCGCTCGTGGCCACCTGCCAGACCACCCCAGCCCAACCCGAGGGCCCGAATTTCGGGGTGTGTGGGGGGGGGGGCATGGGCTCCATGTGTGTTTCTTCCATGTTCCCCGCCCCCCCCCCCACACTGGAAATGGAGGGCAAAGTGAAGCCTTCGGGTCGGGTTGGGGTGGTTTGGTGGGTGGTGAGCTCGGGACGGGCTTTCCCCCCCCACAGCGCCCGAAACCTTCCCGAAGCCCTCCCGAAAGCATCCGAAGAGCCTCCCGCAACCCTTTCTGGACGATGCTGGAAGGGTGTGGTGAGGATCCTGGCCGCTTCGGAGAAAAACCAGTGCCTACGGTAGGTTTGCGTCGTGTCGACCAGCGGCGACCCCAGCGCGGGCGTTCAAGGTTGAACGCCGCCGGCGACCCGGAATCGATCGATGTTGAACGATCGGACGTTGCGGCAGCGGCCGATCGTTCAAGGTTGAACGATCCCTGCGGTGTCAAAAACCAACGCTGGGGTCGGCACGACACGAACCTGCCGTAGCGGAGCTTGAACGTTCTGAGACTACGTGTCAGGTCCCCCCTTGCCACAGCACTCCGCCAGGGTGCGCTCCCCGAGGCTGGCCGCAGTCGGGGCTTCCACAGCTGCAGCAGCTGGGCCACGCGGAAGTTGGGGCGCGCCTGCCCTGGCGGCTGCGAGCCTGGCCCTCGTGGCCCTTCTCGGAAGGCGTGCGCACCCCGGTGAGTGGACGCGGGTCAGCCGAGGCCGGCTTGCCACGAGGCGAACGACCATTGAAGGGCAAAGCAAGCCCAGAAAAACAGTGTGTGAGCGCCTTGCAGCACTTCGCCCTCCACCACTGTCGCACTGGCCGCCCCCACAATAGCATCGCCGAAAGATCGGGACCCCGCCCACCCCCGAGCGGCGGGGGGAGGGAGGCCTTGGTTGCCTCTGCTGCAGGGCCGATCGCATTCCATGACGCCTTTTGAGCCATGGCGGTCTCCGATACGCGCCATAGAACGAAGCCGTGCCCGCAGGCTCCCACGTCTGAAACCACCGTGGCAGCAGTGCCATACACGCACAACAGTACGAGGAGCATAGCAAAGGCAAGGTTCGCATGGCACGGCAACGGTGGTTTTAGCCTCACTCCCGACCCCCTCCCATCACCACGTCTTCCCCCGCACCGCAGCTTCCACCACGGCCCGGTGGCCGGTCCGCGCAGCGGTGCACCTATAGACAAGTCCACGTCCGGACCACAAAGAAGCGTCATGGCAGTCCGAAAGGACGGGGACTTGACGCAAGGGCCAATCCACGATGCCTCAAGGAAGCCAGCTTGCCATACATTGTCACATTATCCTTTGCAAGGCAAGCCCCCTTAATTCCTCCCTCAGTGCCTCCGCCGAGTCGCCGACCCACTTCGGTTCATCTTACAATCTCACTGAAGAAGGCCTCAAGATGGCTCAGGATGGGTTCAAGACTGTGAAAGAAGGCCCCAAGACGGCACAAGATGGCCCCAAGATGGCCTAAGAGGCCCCAGGAGGGCCCAAGAGGGCCCCGAGGGGACCCTCAAGGGCGACTCCAAATGCAAAAAAACATATTGTTTGAAGGCTTCCAGCGCTTTCGCATTGTTCGACCCTCGGGGGCCCATGACGGCCCAAGCAGCCTCCAAGATGGCCCCCATACGGCCAAAGAGGGCCCCAAGACGGCCCAAGAGCACCCAACGCTGGCCCACAGAGGTCCACAAGGCAATCCAAGAGGCTATCAACCCGGCCCAAGACGACCACAAGAAAGCCCCAATGGGGCCCCGCGAGCCAGACGGCGCAAGAGCGCCCAAGTCGGCCAACCCAACACACCCACTAGAGAGGCCCCAAAGAGGCCCCCAAGCGGCCCCCAAGAAGCCTCCAAGAGGCCCCTGAAAGGCTCCCAGGAGTCCCCAGAACGACTGGACTGTACGTGGTCCAGACGTAAGCCCCGCGAAGCGAGAGGAATCAACTGTCAGGACAACTCTGCGCTCAGACCGCGCGCTGCAAACGCCAGGGAAAGCATTCGATGTGGACGCCCGAAGTGCGTACCTAAAGAACGGTCATGGTGCCCGACGCCATCTGTTGCCCAAAACTGACAGCGGCCGCTGTCGGGCAGGCGGCCTTCTGCCTCAAATGGAGAACGCCCGCGGCGGCACCCACAGCGACCCCGATTCAAAATGGACAAGAGCTGCCCTCAGTCTTGGTTCCCAATCTTGCCTTCAGGTTCCGACCGTACCGATTAGACGAAGACACTTGAACACCCTGCTGGTTTTTACCAAATCCTCCCATCCTGCTGTTCTGCGCCGGCTGCAAGACGTCTCGTGCAAGAATGCCTTCATCAGAATGCGCAACGCCATTGTTTGCTACATCTTCGGCGTGGTCATACAAACATGTAACCTCAACACCAAACCTTCTTTCTCCGTGTCTTGTGTGTTACCTCCCTCCTCCACTTGTAGCAACGTTCGGTTGAAGCACCGTCGGAATCCAGCGGAGGATCTGGCCGCGGAAGAATCTGAGCTGTTCCCCTCGGTCCAAGACAATGCGAAGCATACACTGGTGGAATGCTGGCAGAATGAATTGGGGAAACCAAAAGGTACCGATACCGCTACTCTCTGGACCTCTCCCGGGGTGCGTTCTGACCAGGATTTCGAGGCGAATCCAGCGGTGGCGACGAGAGCCCCCGAGGAGGCCCCCAAAAAAGGGGAAACGGGCGAAGGGTAGAGGTATGGGTACCTTTTCCTCCGCTGATGAATGGGGCAAGGCAGCAGAAGGCCACGGAGGCAGCGACGAGAGGCGAGCACGACGACCCAGGGAGGAACACCTGCAAGCAGGAGTCGCCCTTCGGTGCAACAGCGGGCGAGGCGGCGGGCAGACGCACGAAGGTCGCGTGATCTGGGCGACGGGGGCCGCGGAAAGATCGGAAGAGCCGCACACACTACACTAACAATCCAGAGGGTTCCAAAAAAGGTTTTTGAGGGGGGGGGTGTCCAGAAAGCCCCCTCAGGGGCCTCGGAAGCTCAAACAAAACAAGGGTGCCAAAGCCCCTGGGGGACCCCTCCTGGGAAACCCCCTCCCCCCCAACCCCCTTTGGAACCCTCCGGACAGTCATTGCGAGGAGGGGCGCGGTAGACGCAGGGGGGAATTAGGGTTAGGTCGGGCATGTCCTCCTACAGGCGGATTTTGGACGAATGATAAAACAAATGCCCAACCAAACAATGCTATAAAGATCGTCTCCATAATCCATAACGGTTTTCGACTATTCTTCAATTCCCCTACCGTAGAGGGACATGCCCGACGTAAAATCAAGGAAGAGGTTGCACGAGAGGGCGGGTTTTCCCGTGGGCTGGGGGCCCAGGAAGCTCTGCCAAACTTGGGGATCAGAGAAGCACAGCGTCGCTAGGTCGGTCAGAACCCGAGTCGGAAAATCGCGTCGAAGCCTGACGGCACGGGGTCGGAATCGAGTCGTATCGGCTGCGCCAGGATGAACAACAGCGCCGTGCGGGTATCTGCTGGGCCGCATGGGACAGTCGTGGCATCGGAAAATCGGAGCCGAAAGAATCGGATCGGGCTGGCTGGCATCGGTATCAAATCAGATCGACCGAGTCGAAAGTGACCCTGCCCCGCCAACTCCAGCTACGCCCCCAGGCCAGCTACGGAGCCACGGCAGGTTCCGCATACCACGTGGCCCGCCCAACCCTGAACGATCGGCAGCTCGCCGATGGCGCAGCTCGTTCCCTCTTGGCCGAGTGTCGGGCACCTCCGGCGTTCATCCTTGAACGCCCGCGGCGGGGCCGCAGCCGCGTCCACACGACATGAACCTGCCGTGTGCAGCGCCCAGCCCACAGTTCACACTGCCGCAGGGCAGGGCGAAGGGGGAGAGCTCGGCGAGAGTACAGATACTGCGGCCATGCCGGCTACCAAAAGAAGCCCGCAACAGCCTCAACTGACAGAGAAAGGTAGGATGGCTATCCCGTCGAGTGATTAGTTTCCGCAGCTTGGCCGTGAGAGGAAGGCAGACAAGAGGAACAGGATGATAGGCGAGAGCCCACAAGCGGAAGGCGGCAGGCCTCCGATGGCCCAGCCATCGGGGCCTCCGGGGGGCCGACTGCCCCTGGGCCTCGACCAAGAGCAGTGCAGACGAACGAGGTGGATAGGGGGGAGGAGGAGGAGGAGGAGGAGGAGGAGGAGGAGGAGGAGGAGGAGGAGGAGGAGGAGGAGGAGGAGGAGGAGGAGGAGAGGAGAGAGAGAGTGAGAGAGATGAGAGGGTGGGGGATGAGTGGGGGTGGAGGAAAGAGCGAGTGGGGAGAGCTCAGCGAGAGAAAGGGGGTGGAAGGCGGCAGGCCTCCGATGGCCCAGCCATCGGGGCCTCGGGAGCCGACTGCCCCTGGGCCTCGACTGAGAGCCGTCCAGACAAACGAAGAGGAGGAGGAGGAGGAGGAGGAGGAGGAGGAGGAGGAGGAGGAGGAGGAGGAGGAGGTTTTGCGGATGACCCTGAAACGGAGCGGAGGGGGGGGGGGAAGGGAGGGACAAACAAGGGAGGGGGGCAGGGAGGAGACCGGGTAGGAGGGAGGGACGAGAGGAAAGAGCGAGTGGGCGAGAAGCGCAGCGCAGCGACGGATTGGAGCAGGGGAGGCAGGGCGGGAAGGAGCGGGGAGGCTGCGAGGGGTGCGCAGGAGGCGACGGGGGGGAAGCAGAGCGGACGACAGGAGAAGGGACCCGCGAGGGAGCGGGGGGCCCAGAGCGGCCGCCCTCTCTCCGGCGTCGGCTCCGAGCCCCCAGCGGCCCAGGCCGCCCGGCGAGGGGCGGCCCTCCATGGACCCGACCGCGACGCGAGCCACGCGCGGAGCGCCCCGTGGGCCTCCGCGCGGCCCAGGACGACTGCGCCCGCCGTCCCTCCCCGACGGCCTCCGAGCGCCCCCGACGACCCTCCGAGCCCAGGCGTCCGACGCCCTGGTGGTTTTTCAGCACGGGGTCCCCGGAGCGGCCCCGAAGCCCCGACCCTTTCCCTATGAAGCCGCTCTTCTTCGTCCCGAATCTCTCTCTCTCTCTCTAAATATATATATATATATATTGTTTCTCGGCTTTCCCAGCCGGGGGCCGACGACGGCCAGAAAAAAACCGGCCATGATTCTTTCTCGACGCGAGCATACAGCCCTCCGCAGTTCTTCTCCGAGGCTTCCGAGCATGCCCTGCAGAGGATCCCGAGGAGTAGCTTCGAAGGCCCTCCGAAGGCCTCCGACGACGAGGGGAACAGGATCGAGGAGAGGAAGATGAGGAGGAGAGGAATGAGGATGAGAATGAATGGGGAAGTCCTGGCTGAAATGGCCCGCGAGGTGCAGGACAGAGGAAGAGGAGGAGGAGGAGGAATAGGAGGATGAGGGGGAAGCGGAGGAATTGGCCACATCGTCTCGGCAACGCTTGTAGGCCCACGGCAACACACCGAGGAGGAAGAGGAGGAAGCGGAGGAGAAGGAGGAGGGGGAGGAGGAGGACGAGGAGGAGCAGGAAGATAGGGGACTAGCTGGCGAACGCCGCGCTCCAATGGGCGCCGAGCGTGCACGGGAGAAGGGGAGTGGGCCCAAGCCCCTCCCAAGAATCTGAAAGCGACGCGCTCCCCCACTCAAGGATCACGGGGAGAGCATCCAGACTCCAGCACAAAACTTGTGGGCGATCAGGAGGAGAAGGAGGAGGAGGAGGAGGAGGAGAAGGAGGAGGAGGAGGAGGAGGAGGAGCGGAGGAGGAGGAGAATTTGTTTTGAGGTTCGACGCTCCGCAGCCACAGTATCAAAGCACAGCGCTGTCGCTGGTGCCCTCTCAACTCCGCGATGAAAGCCTCGGACCTGGCTGCACCTCCAGGTGGAGTCCGAAGACCGTCCAGCCCCATGGGCTGATGAGGCAACTTCCGGGAGGCCTTCGTGAGGAGGGTAATCAACTACTAAGCCCTAGTGAGAAACCGGATTGGCCCACACCCAGCCCAGACTACGCCGGACTTGGCCAGATCAGGCGGGATAAAACGGAACTGATCGGGACTGTGGCGGAGTAGGTCGGTTGTCGACCACGGATCTATCCGCGCCGACTCCGCACTCAAACTCAAAAAGAAATTCCATCCTGACCCATGGGCTAAGGAGGAGGCTGTGATACCGATGGGCTGTGATAGCGGGGTGTGGCCCTCGGGCCTCGGGGACGTCCGTCACGTGCCCACCGGGCCGGCCGCCCTCACCAGAGATCCGAGCCCTCGTGCCCATGGGGCGTACTCTGCAGGAGCCTCGCCGCGCGAATGCCGCCCCCGAGCCCCCGCGGCCAGGCCCACCCAACGGCATGTCTCAGCCAGCTCCCCCACGGCCAGCGCATCACTAAGCGACCACCAGCTCCCGCCCGCCCCGGCCCGCAGCTCGCCTCCTGCAGCCCCCGCAGCGGGGCGCACGCTTCGAGCAAAGGGCCCAGGCCCGCTCCTGACGCGGCTGGTGCCCCCCAGCGCGGCCCGGCAAACCGGGCGCGCGCGCACCTCGAGACGACCGTGTTCTGGCCACCACACTTCCGGCTGCACCCGCCCTGCGACCCGCGCCACCGACCGAGCCCGAAAGCATCGCCACAAGCGCCACAAGCGGGGGCCCCATGGCGCCCAGCGGAGGCCTGGGGCGAGCGGCGACCGCAGGGGGAGAAGGTCAGCGTGCGGGAGCGGCCCCTCGTTGTTGAGGGCCGCAAGGCCGCGCGATTCCACTGCCGCACCGCCCGCCTGCGAGCCTCAGGGGAGGCGCGCCTGGCCTCGCCGAAGTGATCCACGCAGAAATCCACGTGCACCCGGAGATGCGTGACCATCTGCGCCGCGTGCTCCAACCAGGTAGCCCCTGCCAACGCCCGTGAGCCAGCACCGCCGCAGCAAGCGGGCTCGATCGGGAAAGCGCCAGCAACCGCGAGCGAGCGAGCGCAATTCGCTGCAGCAACTTCGCCCCCCCCCCCCCCCTCCCCCCCCCAGCGCGCGAGCATGAGCGTTTCGGCCAGCGCCCGCGCGTGCCCGCCCTACCCGAACGCGGTGCCCTTGCCAACTGCCAGCAGCACCTTGGCCGCGTTGCACTACACAGGGTTGAGCCGCATCGCTGCCGCCCGCCAGCCCTGCCCGTAGCTAGCCAGAGACTCGGGGACGAAAGATGCTGCCGCTTCGACCCCGGTCGGGATCTGCGCAGCCTGGTATGGCATGCCGAACCCGCACTGCTCCCACGACGCCACCAACTTCTGCATGCCGCCACGCAGCCGTGCGCACACCTTTTCGAGCAACTCGTGAAACGCAAGGGGCTCGTCAACCAGCACTCCCAAGATGTCCAGCGAGTCCACCGCAGCTGGAACTTCGTCGGCCACCGAGCCAAGAGCAGCGCCGCCATCGCGCCAGCCTGCTCCCACCGCCATCACGACTGGCCTCTTGTGGCCCCCTTGAAAGCGATGGCACCAACGTGTGCAAAACTGCGACACGCCCCTGCTTGCAGCAGCCAGCCCCGCAGAGGAATATTGACACTGGGAGGAGTCATCCACAACCTGAACCAGCAATGCGTTGCGTGCATTCTGGCCAGCAGCGGTGCGAAAGGCCGCCGCATACGCACGCTAATCCAGGGCACGGGACGCGATCGCCTCCGCCGCCGCCGCCCTGACCGACTCGCGGCGCACAGCCTCGCCGGGGCTGGCGGCCGCGCCAGCTGCGGCAAACGCGCGGCCGGCACCATCTGGGATGTCAATGCCGACGCCGTCGGCCTGCTCGGCACACTCGTGCTGGGCCGCAGGCCAGGCCCCCCCCCCCCACCCAGACACGGATCGCCTCGGCGCCCAGGGCCGCGTCAGCTACCAGCCAGAGGCGCCCGCGGACCCCGGCCCACCATAGGTAAAGCCGCACCGCGTCCCGCCAAGCTGAATCGCACGCACTCGTGCACCAGGTCCGCATTCTGCAACCATGTCGGGACACCAGCCGCGCGCCTGACCTGAAGAGCGATGGCCATGCCGATGACCATCAACACTGCGTCATACATCCCGCCAGCCTGCAGCGACCCCGCGAACGCTTCCAGGGCACCGCAGGCCGCCTCCAACCACAGCGCATCGAAGACGCCGCGCAACTCGTCCACGTAGCTCACGGTGCGAAGATTTGGAGTCCCGAACCGGTGCGGTGACAGACCGTGCGGTGACCTCGAAATCCCCCAAGACCTCACCGCACGGTCCGTCACCGCACGGTCTTGGGACCCTGGAGGCCCCTGTCGCCCGATACGTCCTTGGAGAACGACCAGGATGCCAAAACCGTGCGGTGGTGACCCCGAATCCCCACCGAGTCACCGCAGGGTGTGGTCACCACACCGTTTGGGGGCCCCCGAGAAGATTGCACACCTTCCCGTATCCACGCCGCCGGGGCCGACCCCAGCACTGCTGCCAGGCAGGCGATGGCCCGCGTGACCAGCCGCCCCCCGCGCACTGCGCGAGCGGCACGCCGCGCACGGGGGAAGCGCAAAGACAGTCGATTTTGCCGGGGATCGGATCCAGGGCCGCGTCTGCGGTGCCCGTCGAGAACGGGCCTTCCCTTAGGTCGGGCATGTCCCCTACAGGCGGATATTGGGCGGAAAATTAAACATACTCAGCGAATGTTTGAAAATACGGAGAAATCTGCAAAACATCGTCCCCAGCGTATTTTTGACTATTTTGAACATTCCTCCTGCAGAGGGACAGACCCGACTTGAGCCTTCCCATTGCATCGCGATGGCCTCCCTCTGTGCTCCCCGGCGCGCATCCGCCGCCCGTCGGCGGACCGAGTGCCCAAGAGGCCGGCTCGCCTGGCCCTGCCGCCAGCGCCACGCTCCAGCACGTCCCCCGTGATGGCGTCGACCTCCCCGTCTGCCCCTCCTCCTCCTCCTCCTCCTCCCCCTCCTCCTCCTCCTCCTCCTCCTCCTCCTCCTCCTCCTCCTCCTCCTCCTCCTCCTCCTCCTCCTCCTCCTCCTCCTCCTCCTCCTCCTCCTCCTCCTCCTCCCCCCTTTTTCGTCTCCCCCCCTCTGCCGCCTCGTCTCGTGGCTGGGTTCCGGAGCGCCCGCCGCGGCGGCGAGCGCGGGCGCGGGCGCGTCGCCCTGAGGAGGCCTCGGCCTCGCCGGGCGAGGCCTGCGCCAGCTCGAGATGCCGCTCCGCGCGCCCGGGCCGTTCCCTCTCGGGCAGGGCCCGCTGCTGAGGGGCCCCGCGTGGAGAGCAGCTCTCTGCGAGGCGGGGGTTTATCCATATCCACCGCCGGGGATCCGACGTCCATATATATATATATATATAAATACACATAGATATATACACATTTATATCTAGCTACGTAGATGTATGTGTATATCTAAATATCGGTCTATCTATCTATATCGGCACCCGTGGGCCCGAATACGTCGATATCCACCGCCTGCCGAAGCTCCAAAAACTGACCCTCCAGGCGGTGGTCACGTATACCTTCCCGCCTCGGAAGCTCCGCGGGCCACTCGTCCGCACGCAACGGCGACAGCTGGGCGGCAAGGCTCGCGTGCTGCCGCCAAAAGTCACCAGCGTGGCCCGCCAGCGCGTGCACGACCGCGCGCCACCACACCGCCCTGTCCAGTGGCCCTCGTCTTAGATCGGGCATGTCCCACTACAGGCGGTTTTTGGGCGAACAATAAAAAACGTCGACTAAAAATACTCCAAAGATGCACAAAAATAATCGAAAAGTCGTCTCCAGACTATTGTTTGACAATTTTTGCTGATTCCTCCTGTACAGGCCCGACTTAACCCTCGTCTCGTCCCCCTGCGCGCGCCCTCTGCCACCCATCGCCTCAATGCTTCCGATCACATCGCCGTACCCGCCCAGCCAATAAGAAACCGCAGCGTAGCCAGCAGAAACTCCAAAGCCGCGTCCCACGGCTCCCCCCGCTCCTACCTTGCACACCCCAGTTCGGCCCTCGAGGCGCACGTCACCTCGGAGCTCAGCCTCACGAGGAGCATGCCGTGACCACTGCGCACGGCTGCGGCGCCAATCTCTTCGACCGCCACCGCAACCGTCAGCCCGGCAGACGCCGCGACCGCGTCGATGATCAACCCAGACGCGTGCGTCCGCACACCTGGAAGGCTCCGCAGCGTGGCACCTAGATCTGACAAACACTGCAGCACCTCGCGGTCCAATCGCTGCTCCGCGCGCCCATCCGTGCCGCCCAATTGGGCGAAATGCATCTTGAAGTCGCCAACCACCAACAACTCCGGGCCACGGAACCGGGCACGAGCAAGGAGTCGCCACCCTGCCTTGACCCGGTCCCGCCAGAGCCCACGACGCACGGCAACACCGTGCCCCGGAGGGAACCCGTAGACACCGAGGAACAAAGTCCCGCTCCCAGCACCCCCGCCGCCAGGCACTGCAATCCAAGTCGCCTGGGCGTCCCCCACGCCACCCAGCACCGTGATGGATGGCTGGCTCGGCCACCCGCAGGATGAGGATGGCAACAGTGTCGGGCCAGGCACTCCGCACCCCATGGAATGAACACCCTGCCCAGCTCGGCCAGATCGCCCCGGGCGCCAGTCGCGGCTCGGACACCACCGCCACGACCACCCCCCGCATGTGCAGGTCGACCACCAACTCGTGGATGGGCGCACCCGCCCGCCGCGACCCTCACGGCACCCTGCGCGTTCAAAGCGGCAACCTCCGTCGGCAATGACCGGCCCCGCTCCAGGTCGGAAGGAAGGCCACTTGCTGGCAGCGCGCCTTTGCCACGCCCCGTGCACCACGTTGAGCAGCCAGCGCCCCCTATCCTCCTTGCCACCGTCGCGAGCACAGCCAGCACCGCCACGTCCATTCTCCGGAACGCCGCGAGCTCCTCTGGCACCTCCCCCCCAGGCCATGGGCGAGGCGAGCCTCCAGCAAAGCGCGGGCGTCGCGGCGGAGGCGCCACTTCCGCGATCCCGCCCGCCCCTCGGTCAAGGAGAACGCAACCAAGCCCCTAAGCTCCATGACTGCTGCACGCACTCTCTCCCAACTTGCCCACCCTGCTAGCGTAGCCGTGCTAGAGTGCTGCCCTCCAACCCACCGGCCGTTGCGCCACGCCATGGCTTGCGGGGGCAATGCCGATTGCCGACAGGCCTCTTGAGCCAAAATGGCCACGACGACGACAACGACGAGGACGAGGCCCCACCCCCGCGCAGGACTGGCTGGGGCGCTGGCGCGAGATCTCCTGGCGCGAGTTGTCCAGGACCAGGAAAAGCAGCCCTCCTCGGGCGGAGGCGAGGCCCACGGGGGCGTGCGCATCACGCTGAGATTCGCCAGACGAGGCCCAAACCCGGACAAAATACTTGAACAAGTCGAGGATCTCTGAGATGTGGCGGTTCTGGCGGATGCATCGAGCGCCGCGGCCGTACCAGAGCGCCAAAAGACGCTTTGGGCGTGTTCTGGAACGCTCTGGAACGATCTGTCCTGGTCCACGCCCCGCTGGTCAACCAGCCGCCCGAACAAAGCATTATCAGAGTGACGGGGGCGAACGGTCAGTCACTGTCGTGGCTGAAGTTTGGTTTCGCGGTGCGGACTGTTGATGCGCTGCTGCTGGGTTCTCATCTGGGTTCTCATCTCTACAGAATAATTGTCGTTGATCCCCCCTCTGGTAACCATTCTCTTTTCTAAATAAAAGTGTTTCTCCATAGGGGCTCACATCCTGTTTTGTAGAAGGGATAGTCTGCGGTCCCCAAACTGCGCCCCTGGCCCCCGATTTACAACAACGGCTCCCGCCTGACGCTTCCCCACAATTTACTGCCAAATTGCGCTTTCACGCGGGACATCCTCATAACTGTTGCAGGAATCGCGCTCTCGCGCGGGACGTCCTCATAGTTTACACCGGAATCGCGCTCTCGCGTCGGACTTCTTCGCAATTTATTCAGACCCTGCGGCCTCGACGCTCAGGAATCAAGCTCTCGCTTTGACTTCTCTTCACGATGTATTTGGGAATCGGGCATTGCTCGAGCCTTGATCGCGATTCATGCAAGACGCACGCTTCAGCAACCCGCCTGCTCGACCTGGCAGCTTGGGCCGCCCTCCCGACCCGCCGATTAGGGTCTACTCGCCCGATAAGCCCGTCTGCTTCTGCCAACTCCTGCTACTCTCTTTCTCTCGTGCGCCATCCTCCTTCCTCCCCCTTGTCCCTTCCCCCCGCTGTACAAGTGTGTCCTGTGCTCCCTGGAGTTCCCGAGCGCTGAGCAGACCCGCACGCACTGTCTCTTTCGCCTTCCTCATGATATCGCACAACGTGCGCACGGTGGCAGAATGGAGACATGAATGGCGTGTGTGTGTGTGTGTGTGTATCAGTTGAAGTGTCCTGTTCTCCTCAGCAAGCGCATCGCTCGATCACACCATGGCCGCAGCCACAGGCAGCGAGGCATGGAAGGCCATGTTCGGAAACGCCGCTGCCGCCGCGAGCGGGCCTGGACCTACGGCGAAGACGAGGGCTGTGGCAACCGGCGAGTCCGTCGACACGGCTGCGAAGGCCGACGTCGCTCTCAAGCTGAATGTCATCAACGCCCAGCGGATGAAGATGGTCCTTGCCATCGTCACCATGAGCTTCGCGATTCCTGTATCCGGCGAGGTCTTCCAGGTGCTCGAGGCTTCGAAGGCCAGCTACACTGCGATGACAGAGGGCAAGAAGGGCCAGGGCAAAGCCCCCCCTGATGTGTACAATGTCATTGCTGCTGTTGCTCACTGGTCACACGACTTCCCCCCAGCAGAAAGGAAAAGTCGACGCGTTCATCAGCGGCCACGGTGTAGAGACCAAGCGCGCCTGGCGGGACATAAAGGTGTGCGGGACCGAGAAGATGTTCGACTCGTCCATGAGGCGGCTGCATGTCCAGGCGCCTGCCCAGATTCTCGAGATCATGGCTGACCTTAGCGCCGAAACATTCGATTATGTGGAGCACGTTGGCCAACGTCAGACTGGGTACCTGGTGTCAGAGGGCCAAAAATTCCTGAATCCTCAGCGAAAGAATTCCATCTTCCGCGTTGCCACGCACGTGTGCTGTTGCTCCTTCTCCTCCCCTTCCTTGCCCTCCCCGCCTCCCCCGTTCTACCCCCAGTCTATGAGGTCCGTGCTTTTACATATCCAGCGCGGTGCCCGGCGGCACTGCGGCATTCACGTGCGTTCCACAGTCGGCGTTCTTGCTGGCTATTCCATATTACATTACTTGATACTTGTGGTCCCTCCTGCTTGGTCGTCGTCGTCTCGTCTTTTCCCCTCCTCTCGCCCTTCCCGCTCCTCCTGGCCGCTGGCCTCTCCTCTCCCCTGGGGCCGTTACTCCGCGTCTTCCCTTCCTTTCGCTTGCGGTTGGGAGAGATGTGGATTACTGGCTCCCCTTTTCGCCATTCTTCTGGATCAATGTTGCCTGCTGGTGGACCACGCAGCTTAATTCAGACTGTCGCTTCGAGGGCGGTGCTCTCGGGCGTTCTGGGCCGTGCGTCCTCGTCCCGAACCCCGCTGGGAGCCACCACTCTGCTGGCCCCTCGCCTCCCGTCTTGGAAAATTGTTCGATTCCTGCGAAGACTCCAGGGGGCCACGAGGCTGCCGGGGCCGGTCCATGACAGGGCGATCATATGAATCCATCCCCCAACCTGGCTGTTCATGTGATTTCATGCTTGTCAGGAGCTGACTCATCGGGGTCTTACGACTCCTTCCATCCGTCCTCTCTTCCCCTGCCTGAGGGGCTGCACGAAGTACACGTTCCAGGTAAGGGGTGCGATCGAAAACGAAACGGCGGGTATCGACGGTTTGGGATATACGTGTTGAGTGGCACGCGAGCAGACACGAGTGAACAGTCTGAACATGTTTGTGGTTGTTGCTGCTGCTGTTGTTGCTGCTGCTGCTTTTGTTGTTGTTGTCGTCGTCGTCGTTGTTCTTGTTGTTGGTTGTGTTGATGCTGTTGTTGTAGTTGTTGTTGCTGTTGAATTTTTATGTGCTAACACTATTGTTCGTCCCACCTGCCCGGCAACCATTAAGTCTTTGTAAATAAGATGCTTCTCCCGAGAATCAGTGGATGTATTGAACATTTACGGCATGGGTATTGAGATCGATTGTGAGATCGATCGTGGAACCGATGCCGAGGACGACTGTAAGATCGATCATGAAACCGCTAGTGAGGCCGCTTACCGAAATCGGCACGGCACTTTCGCCAAATCCTTCCATCTCCTCACATTTACACCAGGGAGAGACACCAATCAGTGGATGGTTTGAACATTCGTGGTATGGCTATTGAGATCGATTGTGAGATCGCTAGTGGGACCGATCGTAGGATTGATCGTAAGGACCATAATAAGGTCGATCGTGAAACCGATCGTGAAATCGATTCAGTGAGATCGATAATGAGATCGATCGTGAGATCGCTTGTGCGATGTATAATAAGACCGATTGTGAAATCAATAGAGACGTGGTGGGTGGTGAGATCGATCGTGGAACCGATCGAGGAAAAGATCGACCAAAAACCCGGGAACCCGAAAAACAAGGAACCCCGTCGCCCACCGAAATCGGTCCGGAACCAAAACCCGGGAACCAAAGAACCCGGAACCCTGGAACCCGGCAGCCTACCGAAATCGGCTTAGCACTTTCGCCAAATCCTTTAATCTCAGCTGGGACACCTCTAGTGCCAGCACTGATTGGGGAAAAAGCTGGGTGTCACCAAACTTGGCAGTTGGCCCCCAGTCTACAACAACAGCGGCTGCCGCCGGATACTACAGTGTACTCCCAGATCGCGCTCTCGGGCGGGACTTCCTCGCAATTTATTCAGACGCCCCGCCCTCGACCCTCAGGAATCACGCTCTCGCTATGGATTGCCTCACGATTTATTTGGGAATCCCGCTATCGCTGGAGATTCAATCGCGACTCATGCAGGACGCACGCTTGAGCAACCCGCCTGCTCGACCTGGCCGCCTTGCCGCCCGTTAATGTCTACCCGCCCGATCTGCCCGTCTGGTTCTGTCACGTGTTTTCTGGTCCTATCTCCCTCTTGCTATTCTTTCTCGTGTTCCATCCTCTTCTTTCCCGTTGCCCCTTCCTTCCATCCGTCCTCCCGTCCCCTGCTTTAGGAGCTGCGCGAATTACGCACCGGAGGTAAGAACAATATACTCCCAAAACGGTACGATCGAAGACGAAGAAGGCGGGCATCAAGGGTTTGGGATACACGTGTTGAATAGCACGCGAACAGATAAAAACGAGCAATCTTGATAATTTTGTTGTTGAAGTCTCACTCCTATAGACTATATGTTTATATAAATCGAATATTCGGAAAAACGAATCCAGGTAACACCTAGACGGAGTAACAAACCCACCACAATATCCAAACGAAATAACCGCCACGGCCGGAACAAAACACTGCACGACATTTTTCCGCAACGCGAAAAACTGCACTGTTGGTTTCGGCAGCGAGTTGCGGAACAGCTGCAAACAAGCCGCATAGACCCGGTAACAAAGGACCCAACACAAAAAGTTGCAGTGCAGCAGCCGAGAACTTTCAACGCAGACGACATGTGGCAAATGCTGCATTGAACGCGAAAGCCGAACAACAACTGCACTGCAACAAAGAGCGCGTTTGGTGCCTCGAACCGGCCATTTCCTGTCACCCCGTCTGCTGTTACCCCGTCTCCGCCTCCCTGAAACTATTGTTGGCCCCCCCCTTCCGGGGTACATTGAGCTTTTTCAATTGCAGTGCCCTTCCCAGGGCCCGTATCTGTTGTTGATAAAGGAAACTTTTTGGACAACAACAGCGGCTCCCGCCTGATACTTCCTCACAATTTACTCCCACATCGCGCTCCTGCACGGGACGTCCTCAGAATTTGTACAGGAAGCGCGCTCTTGCGAGGGGCTTCCTTACATTTACTCCAACGCCGCGCCCTCGACACTCTTGCGTTTTTCCACGTGACATCCTCGCGATTCATGCCTGACGCACGCTTCAGCAACCCGCCTGCTCGACCTGGCCGCCTGGGCCTGTTTTTTTCCAACCCGCCCATTAGGGTCTATCCATCCGATCTGCCCGTCTGGTTCTGCCACGTGCTTCCTGCTCCTAACGCCCCTCCTGCTACTCTCTCTCTCTTGTGTTCCATCCTCCTCCTTCCTCTTTGCCCCTTCCTTCTTCCGTCCTCCCCTCCCCTGCCTTATGGGGTTGCTCGCAATACACGCCGCAAATAAGAACAAGCTATACCCCCAAGGGGGTACAAACGAAGACGAAGAGGGCGGGCACCGAGTGTTTGATATATAGGTGTTGAATGGCACGCGAGCAGATGAGAGCGAACATGTTTAAACTGATATGTTGCTGCTGCTCTTGAACTTTCAGTTCTGAGACATATGTGTTATTGACCCCCTCTTCGGGTGGCAGTATGTTTTCAATTGAAAGAACCTTCCCGATGCTCGCACCCTGGCCCCGACTTACACCGACAACAACAACACCAACAACAACCAAAACGGTTTCCGCGTGATACGTTCCCACAATGTTTTCCCACATCGCGCCCTCGCGCGGGACTTCCTCACAATGTATGCAAGAACCGCGCTCTTGTGTGGGACCTCCGTGCAATTCTATATTCAGACGCCGCGCCCTCGACATTCAGGCAGGAATCATACTCTGGCTGCGGATTTCCTTACGCGTTCTTTGGGACGCGCGCTATCACTCGAGACTTCCTCGCGATCCATGCAGGACGCACGCTTCAGCAACCCGTCTGCTCGACCTGGCCGCCTGAGCCCGCTTTCCCGACCCGACCATTCGGGTCTATCCGCCCGACTTGCCCGTCTGGTGCTGCCACGTGCTTCCTGCTCCTAGCCCTCCTGCTACTCTCTCTCTCTCTCTCTTTCTCTCTTTCTCTCGTGTGCCATCCTACTCCGTCCCCCTTGTCCATTCCTTCCATTCGTCCTCTCGCCCCGTGCCCCAGGGGCTGCGCGAAAGATACCTCGCTGGTGAAAAACATATACCCCAAAAGGGGTACGGTCGAAGACGAAGAGGGCGGGCATCGAGGGTTTGTGAGATACGTGTTGAATGACACGCGAGCAGATAAGAGCGACTGTTTGTTGTAGTGTTGTTGTTGGTGTTGCTGTTGCTGCTTCTGTTGCTGCTGTTGCTGTTGTTGTTGTTGTTGCTGGTGTTGTTGTTGTAACTATTGAGTTCTCGTTTAGCACCAATCAGAATTGTCGATCCCCCGACCGTAACCATTGAACGGTTCCATTGACATGCTTCTCCCGGTGTTCGCGCCCTTGATTGCAAACAGAAACAAAAAATGGTGGGGGATCACCAAACTGTGTCACTGGCCCCGGTTTGCAACAACACGGGCTCCGGCCTGATACGTCCTCACAATGTATTCAGAATCGCGCTCTCGCGCGAGACTGCCTCAACTTATACAGGAATCGCGCTCCCGCGTGGGATTTCCTCGCAATTCTGTATTCAGACGCCGCGCCCTCGACATTCAGGTACCACGCTATCGCTATGGAATTCCTCACGAGTTCTTTGGGAATCGCGCTGTCGCTCGCGACTGCCTCGCGGTTCATGCAGGACGCACGCTTCAACAACCCGCCTGCTCGACCTTTTTTTTGTCCTTTTTTCCTCCTGGTTGAAGGGCTGCGCGAAATTCACGTGGAAGATCTACCCATACGGGGGAACGATCGAAAACAAAGAGGGCGGGAACCGAGGGTTTCAAACAAACGTGCTGAATCGCACGCGAGCAGATCAGAGCGAACCGTCTTAAAATGAGTCATGATGTTGTTGTTGATGTGGTTGTTGTTGAACTACCATCCCTGAGAAAAAGTATCGTTGATCCCCCCAGTTGTGACCATTGTATGTTTGAACTGAAGTGCTTCCCCTGAGGTTTGCACCCATTTTATATCAGGGAACGTCACGGGGTTCAGACTGTGTTGTTGGCCCCCGTTAACAACAACAGCAGCTCCCGCCGGATACTTCCTCACAATGTCCCAAATTGCGCTCTCGCGCGGGACTTCTTC